CACTGTTTTTTAAATACATGTAAAAGCTGAAAGATAACTATCTATTGATTTTTTTTAAATAGCTTTTTTTACAACAATTATAACTTTGTAATTTATGTTCCATTGTACACTTGTTATTCTTAATATCTTTAAAAATTGTTGTTTGGGAACAAAATCTTGTCAGGGTTTCTTATGGTACTAGCATGACAAGTGCATTCATATTCTAAAATACTCTAAACATTAAAAAAAGTCAGTATTTTCAGATCATTCTGAGTCTTTCTGACCTTATTAAGTCAGAACATTCAGACTTTTATAAGTCAGAACATTCAGACTTTTATAAGTCAGAACATTCTGACTTCCAATGTTCTTCTCACTTCTGTAGAAACAAAGACTATCTATGTCTCAAATAAGAGGTAAATGCTTCATGTGGCTAAGCATCTGGGGTAAGAATTATAGATGTGTAATTTCAGAGGAAAACAAATATGCCAAAAATTTTTTTTTTTTTCATATAGATTAGACCGTTGGTTTTTCCGTTTGAATGGTTTTACACTAGTAATTTTTTGAGGCCCTTTATACATTGCTGTTCGGTGTGAGCCAATGCTCCGTGTTGAAGGCCGTACCTTGACCTATAATGGTTTACTTTTATAAATTGTAACTTGGATGGAGAGTTGTCTCATTGGCACTCATACCACATCTTCCTATATCCATGTAATTAATAAGATGTGATGCATGGGAGAGGAAAATAATACTGAATAGACAATTCTGTTTGCACATACACTGATAAATATAATATGTAAAGGTGGTCTCTCAGTAGATTAAAATAAACAAGAAATAATTGTAACAGGATGCTGTTACGAAGTCTCCCAAACAAATTTAAGCTCCCATAATTCGTCATTCCCATGGTTGCCTGACATTGGGCAAGTTCCAGTACAAATTGGTTTTGTCTAGTAAAGTGATATGCATAAGTGACGCCTAGGGTTTGACCTTGCATGTCATTCAAATCTTCTTGAAATGACGAACAGGAATATCATATGGTTTACCTTTAGGGGTGGTGATCCAGAACATTTCAAAAAGGGGGATGGGGATGACCCCAATGGACTTCCCCTATATTTCATTTGATTTGTTTTATTGTCCTGTGCAAGAATGTATATGGTGTAGGGGTGGGGATCTCGACCGTTTACAAGTTTTCAAACATGAGGGGGTGGGGTGACCCTCAGGGACTCCACTTTTATTTCATTTGATTTGTCTTATTGACCCTTACAAGAATATATATGGTTATGGGGTGGAGATCCCGACCGTTTACAAGTTTTCACACAGGAGGGGGTGGGGGTGACCCCAAGGGACTTCCCCTATACTTCATTTGATTTGTTTCATTGTCCTATTCAAGAAAATATATGGTTTAGGGGTGGGGATCTCGACCGTTTACAAGTTTTCAAACAGGAGGGGTAGGGGTGACCCCCAGGGACCTCCCCAACATATCATTTGATTTGTTAAATTGTCCCATACAAGAATATATATGGTTTAGGGGTGGGGATCTCTACCTTTTACAAAATATAAGAACATTTGCAAATGGCAGGGGGTGGGGGTAAACCTGGAGACTAGCCCGGTATATTTCATTCAAATAAATTTGACATTATAAAGAGGAATAGAGAAATGACAGGGATAGGGGTGATCCCTGGAGACTTGCCCTACATTTCATTTGATTTGTTTTATCATGTCCCATGATCATAAATGAAGACCAGGTGTGTGCATCGCTTATTGTTCTCAAGTTATAACTTTGAAAAAAAAAAAAAAAAACCCTTGGGTTCTTTAGTTAAACCCCTCCCTTCCTTTTTCTTTTATTAAAATTTTTCCCATTTTCGTTTCATTATCATCATATCAATATTCGCAATGATCGTTTTTCTCATAGGGAGAAACGAATCAGAAAGGTTAAAAAATCAGTTCGTTATTGAGTTTAAAAATAGAAAAATCACGTGACGATGTTCAGCTCGAAGCAATAATTTTACTTTTTAAATTGCACTGACTGGTTAATAATGTTAATATTGTTTAAGACAACACGAGTTATCTCCCGAAAATAACAATTCATTATCATAACAACATTTTCTGACCTGAACAAGTCAGAATTGTCAAACACCAGGTCATCTAAAAGACCACGCGCCCGTATTTACAGGTCGCGCGCCTTCATGAAACAGCAAAAAAATCACTTGCAAGGAACTTCTTTATAGGCAAAAAATATAAAAATGCCCATGAAAATACGGAGGTAATATGAATTACCTTTCTAAAAATGCCCACAATGACCTAGATTTTCACTAAAAATCGTAAATAATCAATATAATATTCAATGACTTCTCGTTCGAGACACTTCCAAAACAACGACTCTCAAACACGTGATCTCTTGCAAAAAACCACGTGATCGTATGTGTCGTAGATCGGCGGCAAATTCAAAATAACTTCTGGTTTGATGGACTCGAGTGAAAACTGCGCAAAACAAAAATTGACGCATACAGGTCAGAATTTCAAAACACTTTCTGACTTGAAGAAGTCATTTTATTCTGACTTGTTTATGTCAGAGCTCTGACTGATTTACATTACCATAGTAAAAATAACAACACTTTCATTCAAAAACACTGTTTGAGTGGTTCAACTAAGATCTTTAATGAACATGTACAAAAAGTACATGCAGGTGTTAAATGATATACATTTGATAGTAAACATGGTAAAAGAGAATTTGATGGCTTTGAAGAATTTCAGCGGTTTAAGAAAACAATCTTTGTAGAAAGAAACTGCATGTGCCTTATTTTATTTTTATCCCCCAAAAAAACAAATAAAATACTGTAAATTCAGAAATTATTGCCAGGTTTTATTAATGCATACATGCATATTTGCAAATGAGTAAGTATTGCAATAATAAGATTAAGAACTCACATTCTGATATCTGATACATACATATATATATATATACAAAAAATATCTGTATGCAGCTTTTCCTAAAATCGATATAATTAATCTCACATTTTTGTCCGTTCTTCAAAAATCGCAATAATAAATGCAAGCAATTAATAATTTCTGAATTTACAGTATAAAAATTTTCCAGCCTGCTAACCATTTAAAATTTTCTTGTGTAACTGTTAGGGGAAACCAACTTTCCATTTTCAAAGGCCTCTTGAGAGTGACAGGTGACCCTGGACTTATATAATTATGGATAATGGGACTTAGGGATAACGTAAACATTCTATAGTGATCTGTAGTTGTAAACTTCTATGTCATTTGATCTCTGGTGGAGAGTTGTCTCTGACATTGGCAATCATACCTCATCTTATTTTTTAAACAATCCAATCTGGCGATTATTTTCATTTTTTGTCCCTTTGGAAGCCTTTGAAACAATGGCAGCTGTAACAAACTGTTATTCCAGCAGGATATTTACAGCTTTTCTATAAAAGCATGCAGAGCAAACCTTTGATCGACTTGCTTGCTATGTTTGCTTGTATGTTTGTAAACAAAAGAGTAGGCGGAGTTTCAGTCTGTTTAATATATACTGGTATTTGATTGGACAATAAAAACTGACATACAATGTAAAACTTAACATTTAAATAAAGTTAATGTTTATTGTCCAATCAAATTCCAGTATATAGTAAACAGACTGAAATAGACTACCTACCTGTTGTTTACAAACATCCAAACAAACATAAAAAGCAAGTTGAACAAAGGTTTGCTTTGCATGCTTTTATAGAAAAGCTGTAAATAAGAAAATAAAATAGATATATGTTTATTTATTACTCCTGTCATATACCTGGTTTATATACATGTACCTGTACATTACTTGTAGTTATACAACATGTAAAAGTTCAAGTTCAATGTTCATATTTGATCGTAATTTTACCATACATGTCAATGAGCATGTTCAGCAATACATTAACAGGGTTCTCAGTAGGAATTTATTTTGGTAAGTCCAAAGTCCATATTTCAAAATTTTGGTTAATCCCACCATTGAATTAAGCATGTTTTCAAACATTTTTGGTGAGTCCCAGCCGCAAATGGTGAGTCCAGAATTAATGAAAGTGCAGTTCTGAGAACCCTGCAATAGTGGATAATGAACATGATAAAAAAAACACAGAACAACTTTTAAAACTCTTTTTATTTTTCACTTTCAGTATAACATGTATAGCCAACCAGTAAAAGTAACTTAATCACTGTTAATAGTTATAATATGTAACAATGTATAACAAAGACATTCATGACCATATTGAAAAAAGAACATGTTAGGGTGATTAACACACTCAGTGTTCATTTTACCATGGATTTATTGAAAGAAAAAATATTGAATTTAAAATTTTAAATAATTTTTCTAGTATATGTAAACATGGGTTATTTATCATTATCATATCATGTATAGTAAAAGAAAATAATTCAAATGATATGTCCAATCTAAAGGATAGACACACTGGACTTTCTATAAGTTTGCCCATCGATTACCATACATTTACATAATAACCATGGACAGTAGGAAATGATCAAATTCACATGAGCTTTAATGTAATTGCTACCAGACTCAGCAACATTTCAGATGCCATGTAACCATTCAAGTGTACATTCAAGTCCAATGATTACTACAAGCTTGTGTGACTGTGTATTTTGAAACATACATTTGTACATGATCATCCACCAAAGACAAACAGATGCCCTCTCAACACAGATATTAGTTCTCAGCTAGCAATGTCAATGAATTCAGATTAGACCCCTTAGAGTAAAATGACTGTAATGTTAAATTTATTATGTCAGTTATTGCATTACAGAAGGGTATTCTTATCAAAATAAACTATTTGAGAAATATGAGAGATAATTTTCACACATAGTACAAAATGTATGTTTATCTTTATTTAAGACCTTGCCCTTTTGTACATGTATTTCAATAATGTAAACATGAAATTTAACATTTTTTTCCAAACAAGATAGATTATCAGTTGTGATAGTAAGATGTAACTGAAGGCCATAATTTGATCATTTAACATTATTTGTTACAGGTGAAATTCTTGTATACTGATGAATGTTTGGACATTTGTGAATGAACATGAACGGAATACCTGGGGGTATGATGACTAATTAAGTCAAACTGGTGTTTAAACATATTGATTATAAAGTATTGATGTTTTGAAAAGGATATGTATAAATAAGGTAAGAATGCATAAAAATGTCTTTGTTTCTGATACTTAACTAAAGGAGTGATTAACTTTTATATCACCCCCCCATTCAAACCATACATGACATACATATGCAAATCAGCGGTAGTTTCCAGGTTACAATTGTGCATCTTTAATGCTATATTCTTCATTCTTAAATTTCTCCTGTTCAATTACTGGCATGGCTGGGGACTATAATGAAGGACTACTAGCCTCCATAGGAACAACAGTAAAATACATTATCAAACGTACATTTACAAATGTATCGATTGGTCTACCAATTGTTAGTTCTGTGACAAATTCTAGGATATTATTATTGTGAATCAGATCTACAGTGCAAGTTATTCTTAAAATCTGTGGAAACCCAAATTTGGAATGCTTTCAATCTAAAAAAATTTGCAGGACATTGTTATATAAATACATTTTTTTGTATTCACAGTTTTGAACTTTCTACACTTGACACTTCCACAGTGTTCCATCCCTCGTGATAAATTAAAAATATTTTTTCAATCTGTAATACAGCAATGTTTTATTTAAAAAATTATGGTGTAAGAAGAAATAAGTGTTAAAAAGCAAGTGACAAACCCTAGACTGAAATTTTTCTTGCGACAACTCTATAGATATCATGAGCCCCTTGCTGGAATGTTTTCAATAGACAATTGATATTTCAATACATATATTTATAGTATCACTCATAGCAAACTAATTTCTTTTCTTGTATGAAGAAGAATTCCTTTTGCACAATAACAAAAAAAATATCAAGTTGGTTCATTTTGTTAGCTTCCACTAAACATTGTACATATGCCTGAGCATGTATCTTTACCAGTAGTCCAGTAGTAAGTTAAGATTTAATCTACATATATACATGTAGCTATCTTAATGGCAGTACATGGATTAGAAGTTAAGTACAGTTATATTAGATCTGCTTCATACCTTGACTTAATTACACCTACACATGTATATCAATAGAAACTGAACAATGTTAAGCAGTTTGATTCAAGCTTTAAATTACCTACACTATTGACATTTACTGACCCATTTTGTTTCATATCAGACAAGTTATATAATTAAAGGAGGATGAAGGAAGATGGAAATCCAAAAAAGATTTCATACATGTACTTTGATTATTTTTTGCTCTTTAAAATGTTTCAATTGCTTAAAAATGAAATTAAAAGTATTTTTTCGGACATTTTCATGCATGTAGAAAACAGCTGATTTAAATATATTTTATATATATATGGTAAAAAAACAGACATTACATTTAATGTTTAAATTCCAATAGAGCATGAATCATTTGGATGTAAACATGTACACCTGATTCAATTTCAAATATTAAAGGAGGAAGTAAAATTTAAAAATAGTTTGTGTTGCTGTAAATAGATAAACTGGATTTTTGTTGAATAGCTTTATTGTTAGGGATACAAACATCAGGAAGTAACATCCCTTGGCATTGTTTCTGCCAGTGAAATAATTACTGGTAGCAGGTAAAATTATTCCTTTGTCTTCAGGAACTTACTTGCGTATTTAAGGTAACATTTGATTTTGTTTAAATTTGTCATAAGTAAAAATGTACAAAATTATGACTTTTTGTAACTTTAAATCAGTTTTTAATGGCAACTGGAGCTTCATCAGTAAGAGAGGACTTGGAAATTTATGTCTTTTAAACTCTGTCCTCAACTGCTACACCTTATTTGTTATGGGATTTGGGGTTTTTAAGCAATACATGTACATGTATCTGTTGGTACATACTTGCATGTGACTGTTTTGTTAACTGACAATGACCGAGTAACCCCTATAATATAAGTGAGAGAAAAATATGTATCTTTTTTTTTTTTTTTTTAGCAAACTCATATTACCATTTACTTTAACAATTGTGGAGATATACATGTAAAATGAAGATAGAAAATAAGGATGAAAAAAATCATGTTACATTGATACTAATTACTCTTTATTTCTAAAAAAACTGAGAGAAAGGGAGAAATTCTTGAATAATGTTTCTTGTTCAAGTTACAAATAGTTCATTGATAATGTTAAATTTATTTGTCAGATAACTTTAAGAATTTCAACATTAAATTCAATCATCAGTAAATCAGACAAGACATTTTATCCTGTTCACTCATGTATGTTTTGTGGAGCACTATTGACAACTTTACATATATAGATTTTACACCAAATTTACAAATGTCTCTGAGTCTCTACCACCCCTTAATGGGAGAATTGGCAACAAAATAAGCTACTTTGTTCATAACATTGCTAAATGAAATTTACCCCAAAGTACGTTAACTGTCCATATTAAGGTGTAGGATGGCATAATTTCAATATCATTGGTTTAAGTACTTTGAGTCAACTTTCAGTTACTGTCACAAGTCTTGATTATGGTATAATTATGAAGTATTGTTTTTCTTCTATATAACCTGTATTATATCTGAGATTCAGTATAATAGATCAGAGTTATGTGCTTCCTCTGTACTTTAAATGTTGTGCATTTATCTTTATACATGTATTGGTATCCACTGATGGAGATTTAAAAAAGGGGCTTGATTGTCGAAAAAATAACCTGGTCACATATTCATGTCATAAACCTTGTGATCAGTTGTTTTTAAAGTGCTTAAAAGTCATTTATAAAAGATATGAAAAATGATTGACAATATATTATTAAACACTTTTTAGATATATACATGCTTGCAATTTAATATATCTTTAGTCATGTGAGTTAATTGACTTCAATGCTTTGCCTTATAATGTTAATTATAATTATTTCTACTATCAACATACCTGAATCAATGAACATATAATTGTTTTTTTCAGCTTTTGAAACTAGAGTGCCAAAAATGTAAAATTTGTATGTGAAAATGACTGTTGCTGTGACAACAAGTTTGTTGTCCCAGTCGACTGCTGTAGCTGTTGGTGGTTTGGTTTCCTGTATTGTACTGTTTGTACTGGTTCTACTTTGTGTTTGTGGAGACAGGTAAATTACTATAGACAGTAATCCTAATTATGTGTCTGTTGAAACAGGTTGGTAAACAATGTTAATCAACAGATAATTAAAACATCTCAAACTACATGTACTGCTTTTTGTTATGCCCCCGCCGTAGCGGTGAGGGCATTAAGTTTTACCCTTGTCCGTCTGTAAGTCCGTACATCCGTAAGTCCCGAAATTGGTTTCCGTTCTCTAACTTTAGATTGCATCGACCAAATGTTATGAAACTTATACACAATGCTTATTACCACAAAACACAGATCAAGTTTGAATTTTGGTGGTATCACTTTTACCGTTCTAGAGTTATGCCCCTTTTTAAAAGGAAAAATTGCTGAATTTTACGTTTCCGTTCTCTAACTTAAGTTTGCCTCAACCAAATGTTATGAAACTTACAAACAATGCTTATTACCACAAAACTCAGATCAAGTATGAATTTGGGTAGTGTCTTTTTTACGGTACTTACCGTTCTTGATTTATGTTCCTTTATAACGTTATATGCAAGCGGGGGCATCATCTGTGTCCCATGGACACATTCCCCATTTATTCCTGAATAATTTAGTACATAGAACTATGAATTGTGCAGAATAAATTAATTTTGTTAATAGAATTTCTTGGAGACTTTACTGGACAGAATGTAAAAATTATATATATGTTAAAAAACAGGAATCAATTACTGGAAATATTGAATGATAAAACAAAAGTACACAAACCATCAACATTCAACTTTTCCATACAGACAAATAATAAAGAATGGACTTTCTCTATTCATTTGCAATTCATGTAACATGTATTATAGAAGTTTAGAACATTTAAAATATATTTTTCAGTGACAAAAGGAAAGAAGATGAAATAGCAGATATTGGCAAAAGTGTAGGTGGTACTTTTATAAAAAATGTAAGAGAAAATTCTGTGCATAAAAGTAATTTAATGATACATTGTACATGTACATAAACAGCCTGCAATTCAAGAAAGTACAGACTTTCATTTAAGAAGTTAATACAAACACATCAAATAAACCATTACAAAAAAATGTTATGGATATGGTAGGATTCGCAATGAGACAACTACAAATGTATCACCAGAGTAGTAGTAAATTAGATGTCAGAATGTGGAGGGGTTAAACATGTTGTGAGTGCTCAACCCTTACCGTAACCTGGGACAAAGGTGTAACAGTACAACATCAGAGCAAACAGTAAAAATCAATTTCTGACTCATTTGATTGGCACGAAGCACAAAAAATAACTTTCAATAAGTCAATTAGTGTTAAGCAAGAAATATTTGTCCTGAATTAAAAAGTTGCAAATATTGACTCCTATAAGTCAATAAGTTACCAAAGTTGGTCAACTTCAAGACCATAGCACATTTATAAAAAGGTCAAGCATCTACATGAAGTTATGACAACATTGAAAGACATTGCTTTGTCTTTTAAAGAAAAATATGCATGACAGCCTAAAAAAACGGAGATAATGTTTATTTACTTTACAATGCAACCATCTATAACCACACAAAAATAATCTTAATCCATACATGTCCATTTAGGTAATTAAATATAGATAGCTCAGGTCCTTGTGAACTCTCAGACAGGTTTATGATGTCATAGGTGGTGCACTTTGGCCACAAATTAAAATTAAGTCTTTTCATAAACATAAATAGACCTAAACAAGTCTGTCATTTTCTGACTTTAATAAGTCTGAAAATGAAAACACATTTTTATAATAAATACATTTTTTGACTTCTGTAAGTCAAAAACAAAAAATGACTTGTTTATGTCTGAGCTCTGCTTGAAGTAACTATCTAAGTGTACTGCCAACTTTTAAAAATCTTCATGGGGATTTTAAGCACAAGAAAACCTAATGCATCTCTTATAAATGTCACTTAATCTGAAAATCTAGGGTTTTGAATGAGTATGCATGTGCTTAAATATATTAAGACTATTTAGTGTGTATTATGAGTACTTCAAGTGTCTGGTCAACAACTCTCATAGGAGTTATCCCATTAAAGCAGAAAAGCTGGCAAGTCAGATTCCATACAAAATTAATAGAAGGATTACTAAAAATACATTGGATTCATAACATTTTCATTACCAGATAAACACTTTTACTATTCACTGATTTCTGACATTATTTGAATGTTTAATGAGCAAATTGAATCTGACAAGGTCATTGTGCCAGCTTGACATTTTAAAGTACATTTTCAACCCTTCCTACAAAAATATATTAATATGATCATTTATCAGATACATCTAAGCTGTCATATGAAACATATTCCAATTAAGATGAACACGGCTCAATGTACATACATAGATTTTATGCCCAACAAATGCACAAATGACATAAAATATCATTTCAAACCAAAATACTTTGACAGAAATGGAAATTTAAGTTCAGATTGTCAGGTCAAACACTTTTTGTGATGTTGACAATGTCTCTGACTAAACATATGATAAAGCTTATAGAATCATAAAAGAAAAAAACACATATTCATAGTAGAAGTTATTAGGTATACATGTTTTCTTACAGGAATCGTTGGACCCACACAGTGTAGTTATAAATGTTGAGAATGAGGTACAGCCAGTAGAGAATGGTCATTTACCACCAGAACCTGGGTCAAGGTATGGCCACATTATTCAAACTAAACTCAAACAGCACCTAACAAGCTTTCGTAAACAATATTTGATACTAATTTAACAATGCTGATAAAAGTATTACCAGTAACTTCCTTACATGCCTAGTTTAAAGAAATGGAAACACGCTAAATAATTATAACGACAAAAGGATTATATAATACATTATACATATATATGTTCTTAATTTTATATTAAATAAGAATGATAACAGAAATTAGCAATAATATTCTATAGTACAACAGATATGAAAGCAAGTGACAACTCATTTGCATAAAGCTTGAAAGGTTTTAAAAAAACATTCCACATCACTTTTATATTGCTTAAATCTTACAAAAAATGAATTAATTTCCTTAGATTCATTGAAGAGCAAATATAAACATGGCTACCGTAATTGATAAAGCATTTAGTTTATATAAATGTTATGAAGTAAAGGGGGAAAAAAAAAAAATATACTGATGTAATGTTTTTGCCACACTTGTATGATTGTATGAAATGAAGACCTACTGTAAATATTCATTTGTAAACTAATGATTTTTCCACAAACCCTTAAGAGGGGCCTCGTAGGCCGAGTGGTCTAAGTAGTTACTACTGTAATCACTAGCCAGTCAACACTGAGGTTGTGAGTTCGAACCCCGCTCGTGCAGGTGCACTCGACTCCAATCTTAATTGACTAGGATTGTCAGTTTTCCTATCGAAGGTCAGTGGTTTTCTCCGGGCACTCCGGCTTCCTCCACCAATAAAAACTGGCCGCCACGAAATAGCCCAAAAGCGGTGCTTAAAAGTGGCGTTAAAACACCAAAAATCAAAATCAAATCAATCAACAAACCCTTAAGACTGTCTTCATGAATAAAAGTTAAATAACAGCAATGTACCGTAGAAAGGCTTGTATAGTCCGCGGTTTTATTCTCCAAAATTGGACCTTCCAGACGGGGTGCGGACTATAGAGTACAATAAGCAAGAAATAAGAGAAAAATTTCAATTTCGCGGTCGAGGTGGTTTGTTTACGTTCCGCCATCTTTGTTATTTCTATTGTAGAGGGCGCTCTTATCATTTTTCAAACTAATAATTTTAACTCATCAATATTAATAAGTTATTTCTATTCAATATCAAATTAATACTGATAAATATAAAAACTAAACCTTTCATTACAAATTTCTCGTTTCTTTTCAATGCATTGGTTGAAATAAACTGGTATCTGCTCGATTGAAACGATACAAACATAGTGAAAAAGACAACCGTAAACCAGCTTAGAATTTGTAAACTACAAAACGAAATCGGTTATTGTTCGTTCCGTTTTGGTGTTTCATACTGACTAATATGGTTTGTATTAGCTTAAGACCCTTCAAACATTAATGTGATAGATATATTAAAGACCGTTTTACAAAAGGATGGAACTGTTTTACTTTCAAAGTCGTATTATAGTGATATCTGTTATGTACGGATTTCGACTCTCACCGGTTAATTTCTTCTTTTACACGTGCTTTTTAAACTTCCTGTTTAAACATACACAAGTTTCTAAATTGTTTTTAAAGTGAATTAAACTTATTTTAACAATCATGAAGCGTTCTAGAATCATTAACAAGCAGTTTTAGCTTCTGTTTGATGATGGAAAACAGGTTTTTCCAAGAAAATACCGCAAACGACCGCACAGGATTTGAAATTACCGGAGTTTCATTAGACCTTTTCTAACAGTTACAAAAAGTTTTTTTACCTAAAATTTCGTGGGGAGAAGGGGGTGCGGACTATGTACCACTGCGAACTATACAAGCCTTTCTACGGTATTTTGCTTTCCAGAAGCTCCTACAGAAGTTCTGGGTCTTCACCTCAGCCTGGTGGACAAAGGGAATTGCCAGCGCCACCTACATCCTCTTTAAATTCATCCCTCAAAACACCAGAAGATGATGAGGAGGAAGATGCAGATTATGATCATCTTACTACATCTAAAAGTTCAGCAAAGCGTGCCTCAAATTATGACCACATTAAGATGTCTGCCGAGGGAAAAGTTCTAGTAGAAGAACATAAAACCCCAGAACATTTTTACAGTGAAGTGAAATCCAAGAAAGAGAAAGCCAATGTGATAATTGATCGGCCATTATCTAGTGCTAATACATGTGCTGAAGATGAAGAAGGAGATTATGATACTCTAAATGAAGGAAGTGATGGCTCAATGGCTGAGGTCAAAAGAGTGTCAGTTGTTAAGGTTAAATTGGTTGAGGATCCATATGCAAAATTGAAAGAAGAAGGTTCTGGTGGAAGCTTTACTGACATTGATCCTTATTCAAAGGTCAAGGACGATCCTTACTCAAAGTTTAAAGATGACTTTGAATCAGATTCAGGTCAAAGTTTTAATCCATATTCCAAAGTAAAGGATGACCCTTATTCCAAAGTTAAAGAGGATCCTTATTCCAAAGTAAAAGACGATCCTTATTCAAAAGTAAAGGATGACCCTCAATATTCTGGAGTCAAAGATTATGACCCCTATAATAGGGTTGATGATGATATAGATTCACTAGCCAATAGTCAGATTGAGGATCCGTATAATAAAGTGAATGAAAAAGACATGGAAAGTGGTGCTTCAGGAACATCTACAGTTATTGATGCATATGCATCAGTGGAACCAAGGTCTACAAGAACTAATCAAGTCACAAGAATAAATGTTACAAAAAGTGCAAATATATCACACGATGGAACAGAGTTTAATGTTGTGGAAAATACAACAAATGAATATGCTGTGGTGATGAAGTCGAGGTCTGACACAACACCCACACCTACTTCACAACATCCATTTACTTTCCAGTCCCAGGAAACTGATCCTTACATGTTACCACCAGAACCTCCAAGAAGATATAATGAGTATGCTGAGCCTGATGATGCTATACTTGGAGGAGCAGGGTCACAAAGGTCATCAGTTCAAGTAGATTCACCGAGGTCATCACTGGTGCAGATAAGTTCACAAAGGTCCTCACTGGTGCAAATAGGTTCACAAAGGTCATCATTAGTACAGAGTGATTTGACATCACCAGATCAAGCAGTGACAGCTGGTGCAGGTGCTGCAGGTATACTATAAAATACAATACTGTAAATTCAGAAATTATTGCATGCATTTATTATTGCGATTTATGAAGAATGGACAATAATGCGAGATTAATTATTGCGATTTCAGGAAATTTTGCATACAGATGCATATATCAGATATCAGAATGCGAGTTCTAATTATTGCGATACTAACCCAGTCGCATTATTCGCATTAATAAAAACATCGCAATAATTTCTGAATTTACAGTATTTTCAATAAAAAGAAGTGATTTGGAGTTGATGTACACGAGGTAGTAAATCATAACGTATGTTTTGCTATTCATTGAATCAAAATAAAATATGAAAAGTAAAAAAACAGGTGGTGGATATTTGATTCCAAATCTACAACACATGGTTAGCTTGTGATCAGCGGCACGTTTTGATTCCAGGAACAATTCTTTTAATAAGAAATATAATTCATAAAAAAAATTAAAATTAGCTCTTCATCAGTTAATTGATCATGTTGATAGCATCTGTTGGCCTACAATCATTCATGAGATTCTCAAATTACAACCAACATGATGTCCTGGTTATTCAATAATTTTATACAAAATTATGACAAGTGGTGATTTAAATTAAATTGCTAAATCATGTAAATCATTCTCAAGCAGTTCTTGCATGTCTTGATAAAATGTTGGACATTTTAAAATAAATTGAGGTAGATGCACAAGAGACTAATGCATGATATACATGTATACGTACTATACTACAAATATTTTAAAATTCAGATTCAATGACAGTACAAAATATGACTTAAAAAATAAAAACAACATTGTCAATACTATTTTATTAAGGCTTTTCCATATATACAGTATCATATAAAAATACTGCAGGTATATTTTTTATTGCATATAAAAAACTATTTTCTTAAAGCAGGAAAACACAACACAACCAAAAATGGTCATGGAATTTCACTTCTCCAAGAAGTTGACCACTTTTCCCTACTCTATCTCTAGATCTCTCTCTCTCTCTCTCATGGAAGGAGAAGTCACTTCTCCCTCTCTAAAATCCTAGATTGGGCCCTGACATAAACCAATATGAACATGATGAATAGGATATGTAGAGGTACTATTTATAACAACAGTTAAACAGGCCACAGATTATTACCGCAAATCATAACGGTATATCTAAATGTATACTTACATGGAAGACATCTCAATCAAGTGGAAATTACGGATATGGTTATCATGGTTATACTTTTTACAGTTAGGTAAATGACACCTGTCAATCAGTTTTAAAATGATTACAACATTGTTCCTGCTACCATACATGTATATACATCTATGCTGCTACACAGATCAAAATATTGATGGATTAGTGGTAATCCTATTGGCATTTAATTCACTCTTTTTAGTTATTCTTCTCTGATAATTCATTGTGTAATTGTGGATGTTTTTGTTACAAGCACATGACTTAATCTACAATATACATTAATAAACGAACTAAAGCATTTCTGATAGATTTAATCACTTGATTTATGATACAAAAAGTTTCAGAATCATTTATGAAAAATTAATTTAAGGCACTAGGATATTGTGAATTTAAAACAACACAAAATAATATAAGATTTTGTAGGTAAATTGTGAAAAAAGACTGCTCAAATTTCTCTATTTACAGTACTTATTTTTCATTGGACAAAATGATGTTATTGACTATTCATGTTGCTTGGACTTTTTTGCATTGCATAACAAATGTGTGCAGTAAGTCACTTACCGTTCTAGAGTTATGCTCCTTTATAACTTGGAAAATTGCTATTTTTTTCTTGGAAAATAGCAATTTATTTTGTTTCTACACTCTTACTTAAGTTTGCTTAAAGTTTATGAAACTCATACACAATTCTAAGCGCAATGCTCAGATTTTTAATTCCTGAAAATTTAATGGTTATAAGACCTTCACAAAAATTGGGAAGAAAACCATGGTATCACTCTGAAATAAAAACAAAGCGGTGAAAATATGAAAATAACACACACCACAAAAATACTTAAGACTAGAAGAATAGAACTCTTTAAAAACTAGCAGTGACATCAAATGCTCTCAAAAAGTATTTTCACTTTTTACAAGCAAGCTTGAGCGGGGGCATTAATGTCCTCAGACACATTCTTCTTTTATTTATACAAATGTTATTTTAGGAGTGACACAGCAGACAACACAGAAAAGAGAACCACCATATCACAAGATAACAGCTAGAGAATCCTTAGCTAGTATCAACCAAAGATTGGCCAGAAATACTTACGAAACTGTAGCAGAAACGGTGGCTGATCTACAGGGAGAAGCTGCAACTTTACCATTATTGGAAAACTTCTACGCAACAGTAAATTAACAGTTTTTATTATACGACTGAAAGTTCAATACCACAAAAGGAAGGTTGGGATTGATTTTGGGGGTTTTGGTACCAACAGATTAGGATTTAGGGGCCAAAAACAAGCATTTTTGTAGTTTCCAGACAATAACTTGTGTGTAAGTGTATGGATCTCTCTGAAATTGTGCCACAAGGTTCCATATCACAAGGGAAGGCTGGGATTGAGTTTGGGGGTAATTGCCCCAAAAGTTAAGGAATTAGGGGCAAAAAAGGGGCCAAAAACAAGCATTTTTCTAGTTTCCGGATAATAACTTGTGTTTAAGTGTATGGATCTCTCTGAAACTGTACTACAAGGTTCCATACCACATAGGGAAGGCTGGGATTGAGTTTGGGGGTAATTGCCCTAAACGTTTTGAAATTAGGGGCACAAAAGGAGCCAAGATCCAAGATTTTTCAAAAAAAAAAAATTTGTAGGGGACAAATTTTTGGGGGGATTTTTTTTTTTATAATTTTTTTGGTTTTTCTTTTCCCAAAAATTTTACATTTTACATTGATTATTTCTGATTTATATATAAAAGCAACAAATACTGATATGGCAGGAGATACACACCAAACAGGGTGTGTAAATTATTATATATATAACAGATTAAGTATTGTGCAACAGCACAGTATTGCGCAATAGCAAGAAATCTTCAATTGAAAATAAATACAAATCTTTTAATCAATTTCAATGGGATTAATTTAAAGTCTTTGATTTTTTGGGGGTTCTAACCTTGTATTACTATTTTGGATATTGGGCCCCATTTTTAAATTGGTCTACATTGAGGTCCAAAGGGTCCAAAATTAAACTTTGTTTGATTTCATCAATAACTGAATTATTGTGGCCTTATGATATGCTAAATCTTATTGTGCATTTAGATTTTTTATTTTGGGCCCTGTTTTCAAATTAGTCCATATTAAGGTTTGAAGGGTCCAAAATTAAACTTTGTTTGATTTCAACTAAAATTAAATTTTTGGTGTTTTTTTTATGCTGAATCTAACCATGTTGTTAGATTTTGGATATCAGACCATACGAGGTAAATTAAATGTCCCATTTAAAATTTTTAAGATCTTTGACCACATTTATTTTGTATCAGAAACCCTATATTATGTCAAAAATTTGATCACAATCCAAGTTCAGACAGTATCAAGCTTGAATATTGTGTCCAAACTTGCCCCAACTGTTCAGGGTTCGACCTCTGCGGTCGTATCAGGCTGCGCTTGGTGAAGCATTTTATTAATCATGCAAAATATAGTTTACGATTAATCTGTGTGTCTGTTTGAAATAAAAGGTTTCTGGATAATTTGTTTTAAAAAATTTTGAGAAAGACCATATGCCTTTGCTACCTGACTGCAAACCATGGAAATAATTGTTCTATGATTTCTGTTTGAGACTTGTGTTTCTTCAGATTGGTAAATTACTGGTTTCTGTATGATGGTGTTACATTGTGAGCTTGGATCTTATAAAAATGAGATAGGATCTTATAATATTGTGGCATTACTATCTTTTGTAAAATAAAGTCAATTTTGATTTTATCTATGTTGCTGTCAAGCTACATTGTGTATTTAGTGAGCATATATCAGTCCCTTTGCAGTGACTTGTTTTTATGCTGTTATTTTCAGTTTAGCTATTTCAAAGTTGTATAAATATCATTATAAAAATAAGGAGATGTGGTATGATTGCCAATGAGACAACTATCCACCAAAGTTTAAATGAAGTGGATGTACTTAACTTAGATTTAAAGAAATAGAACAAATGCAATAATAAAAACTAACAGTATACAGCTCTCTCACAAGCAAAAAACCCATAACCCATCATGTTGTTTACTATAATGCAGTTGGCTTTAAAGTTATATAACTAGTTACTTCATTTCAACAATGTAAATTTAGCATTCAGCAGAAATTGAAATAAGAAAGAATGGGAGTGTGAAAAAAGGTATGACACATCTTTGTATAGTTCCTTTGTACTATAGACACATTTACAACAATTGTAAACCTTTAGGCTTATATATTTACAGACTTTTGAAAAACCCCCAGATCAAAAATCAACAGAAATACAATTTTTTCTCAATCCACGTAAAATTGGAGCCCACAAAATATTAACATGATAAATGAATCCACGGTGATAAAAATACCAGAACAAGAGTTAACGTAAGCTAATTACTGCTGATTTAGTGAGCACAAAATTATTAAACATTAGCTGATATTTGATTGTATTTTACAGGTTGAGGGTGGCTCTGGAGATGGTGTTGTTACTAATCAAGGTAACCATGGTAGCAGAAATAGATTAAATCAGTCTCCAATTATGGACCATTATGCTGAAATAGGTGCCACAGGTTTGTTTAAAAAGTTATATGTACAAAAGTTAAAAAGTATTGATCAATAGTATGTTACATTACAGCTGAAATGAATTACATAGTAGACATAAATTTTGTACATAACCTATCTTATTTTAATAATACAATCTTTTGAAGTTCCTAGTCATTATGTTTAGTTTTGGAAACACTTGACCCTATTGGTGGATGATCCATTTGCCTTAAAAAGTTGGTCATCTAGCTATTTTTTCTTTGTCTTTTTTCTGACCCGTGCCATATATTATATATATAATTTAAGATCTAGTATCTTTTTCAATTGAGCTGTGTGATATATTATGAAATTTTTGTAAAATTTGGGTTACAATGACATCATTACTTATAGGTTCATCTCCTGAATAAAGGGCCTTTTGGGAAATGGAAAATCACAATTGATGCTGAAGTCGCTAGGTCGAAGAACAAGTTCTTAAATACACAAAATAGACTGAAGTTTTGTTAAAATAGTAAAAATCTTCCAATCTCTTTGCCATGATGGATAAATCTTTATTTGAAAGCTTGATATGTTGAGTAAGCAGCTTATTATCAAATTGATTAGAAATAAAAAAAAATAGTTTTGATTAGAATACCTGTACAGTTTTATATGTTGCATTTATTTGCAAGGTTTACAACAATTAAAAAGTTATAGGTATGAAAAGTGTGTCCAGTTTGGACAGTCAATCCCTTTATATTAGATGCCATATCTTGGTAAAGACATTTCAGATTTGACATTGATGTGATACCTATACTGACAACTTTATGAATTTAAAGATTAAATATTTCTAATAATTTGCAGTTGTCCTATAAATGTTAAATCGAAAGAATCTGTATTTATGTGAACTTTTATCATTTTTTTAGAAACAATTTTTGCTTTTATGTATTATACTCCTGCTCTGAAAGGAGGGGGGTGTACTGGTTTACACTGATCTGACCACCCATCTGTCTCATGAAAGTATTGTTGCTCCTTACTCAGGAACTGCAAATCAGAGATTCCTGAAATTTGGTATCAAGCTTGATGTGAACATGCTAAACTGTATGATATATTTTCAGATTAATCACTTATCCACTTCCTTGTAACCACATACTTATATATTCTTACATATGATATGGCAATGTTTGAAATTTTTCGTCGCATTTTTCTCAAGAACTACTAATCAGGGCTTTCTGAAATTTGAAATCAAGCTTCATGTGAGCATGTTTTACTGTGTGATACATTTTCAGAATCAGGACTCAACAAATTCCCGTTTACCAAATACTTATATATTCTTACACATAATGTGGCAATATATGAAATTTTCGTTGCAATTTTCTCAGGAACTTCAAAACAGGTCTTCGAAATTTCATTGACTGATTTATAAACACTGACCAGAACTGTTTTTATCTTGGATAATGATCATTATGTGTATCTTTAGTTCTTTCATAATCTCAACTAATATTTTTTAGGAGGACGCTCTCATAATGTTCCTGCACCTCCATCTCTGGACAGTTTACACATTATGACCAAATCAGCTGATGGAAGACTACCAAATGGAGCTGGCTCACCTGTAGAAATGGAGAGTAACTCTAATCACAGAAGAACCTTGTCTAACCAGGAGACCATAACTCTTGATCCTAATTACCAGACTGTGAGAGACTGTATTTCTGACATGGCAGCTTCATCAGATCCTAATTATGAAAGTGTTCAAGAGGCAGAATCAAGAAGACCTTTTAGTATTGTGACAAAACAAAATGGAACCAAGTTAATTAGGGACCACTTTTATGAGGAAGTCAAGCCTGCAAGTGAAGCAGACAACGTGAAAAAAAGAGTTCTGAGGAGTCATATGTATGAAGACATTGATGATGTTAAGGAGCAAAAGAAACAATTGAAAAAAAATCCCAAACCTGATGATGTATGGAAAAGAAGATCTGATGCAGAAAATAATTAATTGTATTTATTTTAAAAAATATAATCAATTTAACATTTAACAAAAACTAGTATATTATAAAGAAATTTATGGTTGTTTGAGTAAATATTTGGTTTTCACATTTAACATTTATATTTATTTTGTTGTTGAACAATGTGTTTGTATATTTAAGTATTTTCGGTAAAGTATAAGGATATTAAAAAAAACTGACAAATTTGTTTTCTTGAAGAATATTATACTTCTTTGAAATAGGTTATGTTAAATCAAGTTGCTGGGTAGTTAATAAACTTTGTATGATAACCCTCTTATAGTGTAACATTCCATTCACAATGATCATAACTTCTTTCTCTCCAGAGGACAACTTTGTTATTTGAAGTGACAGTGGACTGTTTGCCATAAATTGGGATTTTTTTTTTGTTATACATTAGATAATATTTTGCTGTGCAGTATAAGCAATATGGTTTTGTATTTATAAAGGTTGAAAATTTATTATTTAATTTTTCCTTGAATTTTAAAAAGTAATTTTTGTTTATATACTTCTTTTTTTAATAGTTGGTAGTGTTGACAATTTATGCTTAAGATTTGAGTTATATCATTTAGACAGAACTTCAAGGTTGACTGTAAAATTTAAAAAGTCTCTGAATCAGATATTTTTATATTTCTATTGGAAAGAAACAAGTCCTGGGATCTTCTAGATTTTTAATAAATGACCCTGTTAGGTATATATATATATATATGAGAGAATGGAGTTATTTTTTGTGCATAAATGCAAAGGCTTTATGTTCAACAATCCTTTTTGTTATGCAATTCTTAACACCCTTGTCCTGTGGTCTTAGGTGGACATTGAAAATGATCAAATCACCTTTTTTTTAAACATTGCATAAAAGTTATAACTGAAAATATTTGGTTCCTTCAGAATATTAGTACAGTAGATCAAAATCCATTTAGACTTACAAGGTTAAGTGTTATCTGTGAAAATTTGATTTTGAATACAGATATTTAAGTTTTTCTAACTGTCATATTCACTTATAACATGTGTAACATTGGTTGTTACTTGTGATATTTGTTGTTATTTTTCAATGTCATTGCATCATCTATTTATTTAAAATTACATAGGCTATTCAGACTATGGTAAAATGTTGTTTAAGTCCTGTGGGAATATGTTTATTTCATTTTTATTTAAGAACAAAATTGTTTAGGAAGTATAGAAACTGCAGGTTTAAATTGATTGGGTCTGTTTGATAATTTGATGTAGTTAGGGGTGTTTTGAAAAACTTAAATTATAATTTGATGGATGGTAGTTTAAATGATAATTTAGCTTAAAAATAATGTAGAATTCAAAAAAAAAAATATCTTGAGAAGTTATGTTTATTTAAAATAGTGCTTCTTTACCCTTAAAACTTATTCAGGAATGGAATTGCTCTTTCAAAATCGATATTTATTTTGTTGGTATCTACACAAAATGATCAGACTGTCTATATGGTAATTAAATAAAGTACTTTAAAATTTAGAAGAAAAAAAAACCAGAATGTAAAGAAAATTTGGACATCCAATCTACTTCATTTAAAAAGTAGAATTTTGCAAAAATGTAGTAAAAGTGTAGTATGGGAGAATATATTTACTTGTTTAATCATTGTATTTAAAACATAGAAAAAAATAAATAAATCATGTTAAAATTTTAAAAATATGACTTATCTAACATTTTGAATTGGATGTAGCTTTGTGTCATTTGGCATTTCATATGTGCCCCCAAAAAGTTTTGTGCCACAAACCATATTTCGTTTGTGCCAATTGTACAGGTAAAGAATAATCGGTTTTCAGAAATTTTACAAGATGCTTTTCAAACTCTTTTTTTTTCATAGCTGAGATTATGTTTCCTGCTGTACAACATGGTTGTGTTCATTTTATTATTTTACTTTGTAAGTTGTTTTTTTTCTTACATTTATAAGACTTGTCTCCATTCTTCAATACAATGTATGTGTGATCATACCAGATTAAGGATATATTTCTCTGTTTGTCTCAGATTGAATTATGTTCATCTTGTCTCCTCTTACATGCCAACAAATTTATAAGTGACTTTCAGTTTTGTATGACAAATGGACATGAACTCATTTAAATACCCAGGGGGATGCTATGTATATAAAAACTATAAGATATTTGGGACACTGATTACATTAAATCTCTAATCTTCATTTATATTTATACCCAAAAAATGGCTCAAAATAAGTATTTACTTTTGGCACAACTGAAATATAACCTTGTGGCACAAATGAAATACTGCATTTCAATTTTTTTTTTATATTTTTGATGACCAATGTTCACAGTGTATTTCATATCCTGGTTGCATCTTCTGTATTTTTTACATCAATATTTTCAATGATTTTAGTTTTTTGCATAATAAGTTGTTTTTTGTTTTATAAGTCTTTTACAAATGTAATATATTTTTTTTTGGTAATTTTTTATGCATTAATTTTTTTCTATGGGATTCTTTGATTTACTTTAAAATCTTTTATTTTTATATTTGAATAACATCTTCTCATTGACAAATATTTGAAACATCACAGGCTGTACTTTTTCTGTGAGACATAACAATTTTCTCTTTCCTTTTTTTTAATACTTTAAAAATTTTGATAGTTTCATGGGAAATACAATCAATTAATCTTTCCTTATTTATTATGATAGTGTGGTTATGATTTTAATACTGTAATAACATGATAAAAATGAATTTCTTGCTAACTGAAAAAAGTATTGGTTGTTAAATCATATAGGGGAGATAATTCAACTATTCATTTTGAATGTAAATATTTTAAGATTTGGTATACATGTACAAAGTCTATTCAATAAATACTGACCTTGGACAGTTTTAGCCCAATTTGATAATATTGCTTTCATTTATTTTAGACATCTATTGCAACTTTTGCAATGACTGAATGTTGTGAGCATTGGATTAACTGATGAACTTGTATTTGTAATGTTGGACTTTAATTTACTCCTAACTGGTTTCAACTACCACTGGTTGGAGCAGTCTTTTGTCATTGTTTAGAGTGTGTAATGATGTAGATTCAATAGTTACAAGTCATAAGGAAATATTTTGTCAGTACAAATAAAGAGGATGTGGTATGATTGCTAATGGGACAACTCTCCACCAGACACATAATGACGTAGAAGGTTAGCAACTATAGGTCACCTTACAGCCTTCAACAACAGCAAAGTTATGGAGGAATAATATTTTTTGTCATGCCACACTTTTTTGATCGTTATAAAGTCCGTGATATTCTCAACCTATAGTTTTTATACGACCGCAAAAATTAAAAATTTTTTGGTCGTATATTGGTATGACGTTGGCGTCGTCGTCGTCGTTGTCGTCGTCGTCGTCGTCTGGCGTCGTCCGGCGTCGTCCGAAGACACATTGGTTTTCGCACTCTAACTTTAGTTAAAGTGAATGGATCTCCATGAAATTTTACCATAAGGTTCAATACCACGAAAGGAAGGTTGGGATTGATTTTGGGGGTTATGGTACCATCAGTTAAGGAATTAAGGGCCAAAAAGGGGCCAAAAATAAGCATTTTTGTAACTTCCAGACAATAACTTGTGTGTAAGTGTATGGATCTCTCTGACATTGTACCACAAGGTTCCATATCACAAAGGAAAGGCTGTAATTGATTTTGGGGGTAATTGCCTCAAAATTTAAGGAATTAGGGGCCAAAAAAGGGCCAAAAAACAAGCATTTTTCTAGTTTCATGACAATAACTTGTGTGTAAGTGTTTGGATATTTCTGAAATTGTACTACAAGGTTCCATATCACAAAGGGAAAGCTGGAATTGAGTTTGGGGGTAATTGCCTCCAATTTTAGGAATTGGGGGCCAAAAAGGGGCCAAAAATAAGCATTTTTCTAGTTTCCAGACAATAACTTGTGTTCAAGTGTATGGATCTCTCTGAAATTGTACTGCAAGGTACCATACCACAAAGGGAAGGCTGGGATTGAGTTTGGGGGTGATGAATCATAAGGGGGTTCAAAAAATTTTGGGGGGGGGATTTTTTTTTACTTTTTTTTTCTTTTTTTCCTTTTTTTTTCTTTTAAAATTTTCCATTTTAAGTTGGTTATTTCTGATTAATATTTAAAAGCAAATAATAATGATATGGTAGGAGATACACACCAAACAGGATGTGTAAATTATTATATAATAAGTATTGTGCAATAGCAAGAAATTTTCAATTGCACAGTATTGCACAATAGCAAGAAATCTTCAATTGCACAGTATTGCGCAATAGCAAGAAATCTTCAATTGCACAGTATTGCGCAATAGCAAGAAATATCCAATAGCACAATATTGCGCAATAGCAAGAAATTGTCAATTGTACAGTATTGCGCAATAGCAAGAAATATTCAATTGCACAGTATTATGCAAAAGAAGATACTTCGTATAAATTGCTTATTTCTTGATCAATTTCAATGGGTTTTTATTCTTGAATTCTTGGGGTTCTTTAATATGCTGAATCTAACCGTGTATTAAATTTTTGGATTTTGGGCCCCGTTTTTAAATTGGTCCACATTGAGGTCCAAAGGGTCCAAAATTTAACTTTGTTTGATTTCATCAAAAATTGAATTATTGGGGTTCTTTGATATGCCGAATCAAACCGTGTATTTAGATTCTTAATTTTTGGTTCCGTTTTCAAATTGGTCTACATTAAGGTCCAAAGGGTCCAAAATTAAACTTAGTTTGATTTTAACAAAAATTGAATTTTTAGGGTTCTTTGATATGCTGAATCTAAACATGTATTTAGATTTTTGATTATGGGCCCAGTTTTCAAGTTGGTCCAAATCGGGGTCCAAAATTAAACTTTGTTTGATTTCAACAAAAATTGAATATATGGGGTTCTTTGATATGCTGAATTTAACCATGTATTTAGATTTTTGATTTTTGGGCCCCGTTATCAACTTTGTCCACATTGAGGTCAGAAGGGTCCAAAATTAAACTTTGTTTGATTTCATCAAAAATTGAATTCTTGGGGTTCTTTGATATGCTGAATCTAACCATGTATTTAGATTTTGGATATTGGACCATAATAGGTGAATGTCCAATTTAAAATTTTTAAGTTCTTAGACCACATTCATTCTGTGTCAGAAACCTATGCTGTGTCAAATATTTAATCACAATCCAAATTCAGAGCTGTATCAAGCTTGAATGTTGTGTCCATACTTGCCCCAACTGTTCAGGGTTCGACCTCTGCGGTCGTATCAAGCTGCGCCCTGCGGAGCATTTTATTGTATGATAAAATGAATTGCAATGAATTTTTATTGACATCACCGGTGGTTTAAACAATTCTTAAATGGTTATAAGAACGATTTATTTGTATTTATGACATGGTAGTTTTTATTAAAAACAATATGTTCAACAAATAAATCATATTCTACAAAATGTGACAATGATTAGTCTGTACTATGTCCAGTTCTACAAACTGTTTATACCAACATTTATATAATATAAGTTTATTTTGCACAATATTTTTGAATATGTCATAAGGTCTACAATTGTAAATCTTAAGACTTAAAAGTATGTAATTCTCTGTTATAGTAAATTTTGAAATTACTGCTTGTATTTATTGTTGGAACTGTTCAGTGAACAAAAATGTAAGACTATTGACAATTAAAATTTAAAATGCCAGTTTTGATTTGTGTGATACTAATTCTTAAGCATGTTTTGCATCTAATATAAAAAAAATCAGAATTATTTCTAAAAATAACCTGAAATATTGGCATTTTATAATGACCTTTTATTTGTATTGAGTAAGGCACCATAAAGTATTTTTTATACCATTTATATGGACATTTTATTGAAATCTTCATGAATCCCTAAGATTACTTATCAAAATGAAAACCTATTACGGAAATTTAATTAAAGATAATATTAATGTACATTTCCATGAATCATTAGTAGTGAAGATTAAAATACTGGACAACTACAGTTCTCTGCGACTACAAAAAATCATCAGGAAATCATGCAGCATTTATGCTATCTTCTACAAAAAAAGCTGTTTTATTGAAAAATGCATTCCAACCGAAGCAACAAACTAAAATCATGTCCAGAAAAGAATCTATTAGAATTTTGTTATATATGGCTACTTTTAAGTGCCTTCCTGGAGATCCAAGTATTTTTTTAATGGGACACTTGGCATCATTTGATCTTCCCTATTTTATAGCAGCAAATTTTCAACTAGCCTAAAACACTCAGCTATTACTAGTTGCTTGAGATAGTACCTAGTGATTTTGTTTGAAAGTTGTATAAGATCCAAATTTTTGGCCAAAAAATCAATTTAATTGACTCAGTAAAAAAATGGCCAGAAAAGTCAGAATATGAAATAAATCAAATTTTGTTGATAAGCTAAGAATTAAATATTATCATATTTATGATTTGTATCAAAGTAGTTAATTATAGATCTGTCAGTTTTGTCTAAACTGGATTGTAGAAATTATCAAGTTTTCAATTTGTGCAACTTAAAAATAACATTATAAATGAAATGGCCTCCACTAAGAACAAACCGTTTTTTTTTTGTCATTTAGTGAGATGGGAAGATGACAGTTCAAAGGTAATGCTGCAACCATAAAACATTGATTAACAAAAATCCAAATTTTTATATAGTAGAATTAGATTTACTACTTTCCATGGTCAAGTAAAAAATTTATATCTTGGATATATAACACTTTGTTTTTTACGGATAAATACGGATATATTAACACTTTGCAATGATTCAATTTTAGCATGGTTTATTTTGTTTCTGATACAAAATAAGTTCTTTGTTCTGATCTGTGTTGTCAAGTTTTTCATAAAGTTGAACCTATGGCTAGTGATTATTGATAATTTAAATACCTACTTTAGAGTTGCCATGGATGAATGTAAAGTGCAATAACCAGCATCTACACATATGTATTGCTTTAAGTAAGAAATAGATAGAATTGTATCTAGAGTTAATGTTGTGACAAACTTAATGCATCTGTAATTAATTAATGTTTGGTTTCAATTTTAACCAGACATGGTAGTTTTATTTATTTATTTGTAGTTTTAGTATTGTATTTATAAATGTTCATTGAAAATGAATTCATAGTTGTTTTTTATTGAAATTATTTTGTTGATTTGGGTTGTTTGTTTTTTTTCGTTAGCTGACCAACCATTAAATAAATCATTTTATAAGAATGTAACTTATCTTAGTTTTTTAAGTTTTCATTTCAAGTAAAAAAAGAAAGTCTCTCTGATTATGTCTGTATACATCTCATAGCTTTGGTAACCAGATGTTATGGTCAAAAAAATAGTTTTTAATGCTTTTAAAAAATAATTATATGTATGTACATAATGTATATATACATATTTTGTTAAATATTACGTTTTATAATGGGAGATAACTCCAAATGTCCTGTACAATTAGCTGTTGACAGGTACTGAAGAGTGACACCCACCACAGTCATTTGGTCCAATAGGATTTATTTCATAAATATTATAAACAGTTCAAAGTTCTTCAATGGTTTAGCTTCATTTGGCATTGTAAAACTTAATAGTTATATTGGAATTTATGAATTTGTATTTTTGTTTTTTTTATTTTTTGTTGTTTTTTTTAAATAGAGTTCACATTTTGTATTTGAAAAAAAAGTTCTTGACCTATTCCTGATGATGTGAGGCAAGTTGTTTTGGATTTCCAAGGTGTATTGATAGATCTATTGCAATACAATGTTTGTAGACAGTCTTTTTAGTGTTTTAGCTTTACATATCAATAAGTTCCTATTTATACAATTATGTTCATTTTCCATTAATCAGAATTTCATTCATAAGAATAGATTGATATTATTGAGAATATCATTATTGTTATCAGTCTTTAATTGATGTAATCCAGGAATAAAACTGAATAAAACACAAATTTTGATAGTACATGACTTTGTTTTTTGACTTAATGATAGAAATAATTACCCTGTGTTTATTGGACATTTGACAAAGAATAGGCTGTAATTTCATGAAAACATTATACCAAGTGGAGTTTAACAGAGTGAGTCAGCGAGTGGTAAAACATGCTATTTTAGACCTAGCGAAGGTAAAACAGGATTCCATAAACTATTTTAATTCTAATAGAAAGCAGATACATATCCTTGAATATTAGTACAACTCGGTGCAATTTATATCTTGTCATATTGTATTGTTAGAGCCTGTATGTTTACCTATTGTTATCTTTTTGTGTTTTTTTTTATTAATAAGTCATATAAAGGGAGGCAACTCTAGGAATTTATAGTTACAGCATGGTACATATAAGATCTCATTTCTGACTTCTATTGCATCCTTTTTAAAAACGCCTGCCCAATAATCGTTTTGAAAAGGGTATACCTTTGACTTTTAATTTTTGCATATATCATTGCTAACTGAGGATGATCACCATAAAGTTTTGGACTTTTTATGTAGCGTAAGGTTAATATTATAAAAATAAGAAGATGTGGTATAATTGCCAATGAGACAACTCTCCACCAGAGACCAAATAACATAGAAGTTAACAACTATAGGTCACCGTACGACCTTCAACAATGAGAAAAACCCATACCGCATAATCAGCTATTAAAGGCCCTGAAATGATAAATGCGATAATGAACAGCCTGATTTATGTAAAAAACAAATATGATACACAGCAACAAATGACAACCACTGAATTACAGACTCCTGACTTGGGACAGGCACATACATAATGTGGAAGGGTTAAACTAGTTTGCTAGCACTAACATCTCCCCCTAACCTTAGGTTGTTATTATTTTCAGCCTTCATGTTAATTAGGAGATAACTGTATTGTATTTTAAGCTCTGACGGCATCAATTGGTGATTTGATGGTCGCAAATTAAGTGTATTGGCGAACTAGTAAACGGGTATTTGCGACCATCAAATAACCAATTGATGCCGTCAGAGCTTAGCATACAATATTGTTAACTCCATTCTAATGAAAATGACAGAAAACAATGTAAAATCATACATTTAAAATCTGTCATACATCGTCTGCACTTGTGCGTAAGTTTTCATAGCATCAATTCTGAATTGATGCCATGAAAATTGGTGACGTTATCCAATGAAAATGAATGTTACAAACAATGTTGCATTAGAATTCAGTATTAAAAAGACACTCAATTATATTTTAATTAAATTCTACTTCCAGCATTTTTGTTATCCAGGTGCAGCTTAATACATATTCAGTTCACTTTTTCATCAAGGTCATTTGAAAAAACTGTAGAGTGCTTTATTGGGTGCAAAACACATACCGACATGGTTCCTTTTGTCATTTGTTTTCTTAGTATTCTATCATAGAAGGTATCACAAAGCCAAAACATAATGATATTTATATTAGACTGGATTATCTTTGAAAAAATACTAGGTGTAAAATAATATAAAGAAAAGGAAAAAGTTATTTAAAAAAAAAATAACACATAACATGATAAATAGCTTGCATAGATTTCAGGTGAGATTTGTAGAAGAACATTAGCCTCTAGTTACTTCATTTTCAGTTAAAAAACCAAGATATGGTTTTCATTTAAAAATTTAACAACCACAAGTTAGACAAAAGTACATCAATCTGAAGAAATTAGGCAAGTGTCAACGTTTCAAACCTTCAAGTGAATATTTAATGCTGAGAAAAGTTTTCTATTGGGTGATTTGCCATAAAGTCTGTAATTTGCGGTCACATTTTGCACTTAAAAGATGTAATGTTTGTTTCTTACAGTCAACATCTAAAGGATTTGAAAACCAACATATCAGATCGCTAGGAAACTCAATATTAAGAAACAAGTATTAATAAAAGGAGACCAGTTGATATAGAATATCTTGACAATAATTTTATAGATTTTCCATACAAAGTGGGAGATTTGACCTGTCCACTTTCAGAATAATGATCTTCAAAAACGAAATTGACATATGAAAACAATTTTGATTTCTACTTATTTCTGGAGAGGTGATACCATGTTATCATTATACACATTGAATGTTTACAGTAAAGTTAGGTTCATAACTAATTACAGGGGTGGATCCAGCCATTTTTAAAAGGGGGGTTCCCAACCCAGGATAAATGGGGGGTTCCAACTATATGTTCCCATTCAAATGCAGTAATCATCAATAAAAAGGGGGGCGGTTCCAACCCCAGGACCCCCCCCCCCCCCCCCCCCCCCTGGATCCGCCACTGACTAATTATGATAACTAAATATATCATAAGGGCATCCACTTTTGTTTATTTTGTTTCAAATTCTACTGGTTACCTGCGGACAGTAATCGACCCTAAAAAAAACAGTAATGTTACACAATGAAACAATAAAATCGATTAAATTAAGTAAAAATTCGTAAGGGTTCCGCGGAACCCAGTGTCTCGCCTACTTTTCTGTTAATCGCAGGCTCAACGAAAATAAGGTAGTAAATCAATAAAAATATTCCTCTTGATACTATCTTCTGATTGTAAGAAGCTTCTGTCCAAGTTTGGTAAAAATCCAGGAGAGTTTATGAATCTAATAAATGTTTAAAATCTTTAACTGCAGACTGAATGTAATGTTAACTGGAAGAAAACAAAATTTCCTTCTAGATACTAGCATTTGATCATAAACAAGCTTCTGTCCAAGTTTGGTTCAAATCCAAAATAGTATAAGAAAGTTATTAAAATTTTAAAAACTTTAACCACAGAGTGAATATGTTGTTTCCTGGCAGAAAATCTAAGTCCATTTAAAAGTAAAATACGGAAAAAATGGATTTATTTTTTTACAAAATTTCCTTCTAGATACTAGCATTTGATCATAAGCAAGCTTCTGTCCAAGTTTGGTACAAATCCAAAATAGTATAAGAAAGTTATTGAAATTTTAAAAACTTTAACCCCAGAGTAAATATGTTGTTTCCTGGCAGAAAATCTAAGTCCATTTAAAAGTAAAATAAGGAAAAAATGGATATACTTTTTTTACAAAATTTACTTCTAGATACTATCTTATGATCATAAACAAGCTTCTGTCCAAGTTTGGTACAAACCCAGGATAGTTTAAGAAAGTTATTAAAATTTTAAAAACTTTAACCACAGAGTGAATGTAATATTTCCCGGCAGAAAAACTAAGTCCATTTATAAGTAAAATACTGACAAAAATTGAATTTTATTTTTACAAAATTTACTTCTGGATACTATCTTAAGATCATAAACAAGCTTCTGTCCAAGTTTGGTAGAAATCCAGGATAGTTTAAGAAAGTTATTAAAATTTCAAAAACTTTAACCACAGAGTGAATATTTGTGGACGCCGACGACAACGACGACGCCGCCGACGGAATGTAGGATCGCTATGTCTCGCTTTTTCGACTAAAGTCGAAGGCTCGACAAAAATTAATCATATTCTCATGTTTTCACATTTTTATGTGCATTAGTGATGTTAAAAGTTGAGAATCAAAATTAAAAAAAAAAACGCTTCCGGATCCAGCAATATTTTTTCAAGATTTACATTATATTTCATTGTATATTATCTTAAGTTCTTTACTTTTCAATTATTAGAAATAAATTGTTCAAATAAGTTAAACATTGATTATATTTAAAAAAATGATGACTTAAAAGTGTACTGTTCTGACAACAGCCCTGCAAGACTATCCTTTTTGGTTCTCTTGTTATCATTTCTTATTAATTTATGTATATATATATGTATAAACATATTCATCCTCATTCAGAAGGTAAGTAAAATATATACATAAAGATGAAAACAATATATTTAGGTGTTTTAGACGGTATTTTAATGTGTTTGGTGGTGATCGGCAGTGTGCGGTGGTGTTCGGTGTGTCACTTTTCGTGGGTTGAGGAATATCTGCATTTTCATTGATATTTGATTTCTTCGGTTTGACAAATTCTGTATATATTCCAAAGGAAAATTCTTCATTCGTTGAACATTTAAATTCACGGGTCCTCTATATCCACGAAATACACGAAAATTGGTATCCAACGAATAATAATGAATCCACAGTAGTTTGATAGGAACTACTTGTGATAGATCATTGATATTTAATATAAAGTTGCATTACTATCATTACATATCAGTTTGATGACTATTTCAAGGCCCTGTCCCCTAAGTCATGGTCCAGCAACTTTTAATTAAATATCAATTTTCAATGTTAAGTTTTCTGCTTAAGTTAGTTTGATAGGAACTACTTGTGATAGATCATTGATATTTAATATAAAGTTGCATTACTATCCGTACATATCAGTTTGATGACTATTTTTAGGCCCTGCCCCCTAAGTCATGGTCCAGTGACTTTGAATTAATAAGCAATTTTCCATTTTTTTTTTTAAAGTTTACTGCTTTAGTTAGTTTGATAGCATCTACTTGTGATAGATCAATGATATTTTGTGTGAAGTTGCATTACTATCAGTACATATTTGTTTGATGAATATTCTGAGGCCATGGTCCAGTGACTTTGAATTAATAAGCAATTTTCAATGTTAAGTTTTCTGCTTGAGTTAGTTTGATAGGATCTACTTGTGATAGATCAATGATATTTTGTGTGAAGTTGCATTTCTATCAGTACATATCTGTTTGACGACTATTTTGAGGCCCTGCCCCCTACATGTATATCACAAAGTTGCATTACATGAAAAGAGTAACATCTAGTGTCTATCACATTTAATGGGCTGTCTGAAAATTCACATTGGTGTTCTAGCTGGAGGTTTAGCTTTTGAGTATAGATAATAAGTGTTTTCTAACAATTGTTTCTTTTGGTTTAATGCTAACCACCATCCACAGTACATACATATCCATCCTTTCGTGTGAAAGTGTTACTAGTGTTATAATTAATAATGAAGACACTTCTAACAGTTTCATTTAATTTTATTGCAAAAATAGTTAAAAATCTTGGTGTGCACAATGCAATGCTCACAATTGGCTACAACTGATTAATAATAACATAACCAATTGTAACCTCACAGTCATGTTTGCCAATCATAGTGTGATGATGTTATAGTCACTAATTCAAATTAAACTTAAACAATTAATTGGTTGGCAGATAAACAATAAAATAATTAAAATAAAACTTTCCAATTTTTAAACCGTTATAGCTATGATATTTGGTTGTACAAACTTAGAAATAATCTCAATTTTTCAACTATTTCACTTTCTGTATACAAAATTATCTACATAACTAAATAAAGCTTGACTTTAATATAATCTTTTACTGTGTTTGATTTTGTTCAAATCTAATATTACATCTAATGTGAATAAATGCTGTATATATCCCTGTAGATAGAAATTATTATGTCAATGAGAAACTAATGAGTTTCTCATTCACAGACAATAACAGTCCCATTTACTTTAAACCAAACAGGTAAATTACTAATCCTGCAATGTGATTGCAAGCACTATTATAATTTAAATGTTGTACCATGGAAATATTGTATTCCTTACTTTCAAATGTTGTTGTCAATTTCTTTAATTTACAAGATTAGTCTCCCTTTCGGAAAAGTATATCTTGTTGAATGTTTATTTTACCAAACAGTGTTAGTTTTAGATTTTTTAAGCAGAAAAAAATGTAAGTTGTATCTGCAGCAGTTCTCTGACAGTTGCCACAGGAACTCTAATTTATACATCTGTCCATGTTTGGGTATATAATATATTAAAATCCATATCCATTTGTGATTTAGGAACTATAAAATAATTTCACAGCGAAGGTAAAAATATAATTGTGCAAGGTAAAAATCAAATTCTAAGTGGGAACGAAGATAAATTTTTATCAAAGCTATACAAAATATGTGCTTAAAAGGAAAATACCAGCTACATCTATAAAGGGATTTCTAAATTATTTCCACGGTCATACAATATGACACATACATAATGGGTTATTTGTAGTAACAAAACAAACTTCTATTGTGCAACATAAAAAACATAGTAACAAAACAATAGTTAAGTATTCTAGTTGTAAAAGAAACAAAGAAAAAAATAATAACAAACAGTGAATGGTTCAATGAAATATAAATCTTTCAAGTTACCCTTCTATGATAAATGAGTGATTGCTAATATGTTAGTAATACTGAAGCAAGCTTCATGGTTATTTTTGCATTGGTCAACTACATAAGTTATAAACAGTGACACATTTTACATCTGTTTTTATTGAAGGCATGAATGGACCTATTTGTGATTTCCTATAAGGGGTTAGGCACTGACATGATACATTTAATTTTAAGTCGAGGCTTATATAAGTGAATCACATCTCAGTCAAAGCTTTTACAATTTTATAAGTGAATCAAATTTCCAGTCAAGGCTCTGATAAGTGAATCACATTATTGGTCCAGGCTTTTATAAGTGAATCACATTTATGATCAAGGCTTTTTTTTAAGTGAATCACAATTTCAGTCAAGGCTTTTATATAATAAAATGTGAATCACATTTTCTGTTAAGGCTTTTATATAATAAATGTGAATCACATTTTCTGTTAAGGCTTTTATATAATAAAATGTGAATCACATTTTCTGTCAAGGCTTTTATATAATTATTATGTGAATCACATTACAGTTAACAGCATTTACCTCTTAAAATCATATAAAAATGTTAGGATCAAATCAGGATTCAGCAAATACAAAAGTTATTAAAAGGCCAGGAGTTCTTTTTATTGTGTATTAAAGTATTACCGGTAATTATATATGGCATCAAAGAGCACTGGACTAGACAAAAATCATGAAATAGTAACAGTATAGCATCTTACAATAAGTACCAGTAAAAATAGACAGAAAATCATAACATAAGGGAATGATTGATGTCTATAATCAAAGTTTGTCAAAGACAAATACTGTGCAAGATTTGCTAAACTGACTCTACTTACTCCCAACTGTCCCATTCTTACAAAATGAAATGTCTTGCATAAAAATAGTGTTTAAAATCTTGTGTAAAAATATAAACTAGTACAAAGTATACAGTTATTCTAGATTATTTTGTAAGAATATGGAATTAGTTTATAACATGACATGAAATGGACACAATATTTTCTTCAATTCATTTAAAAGGTTCTGACATTTTTAATAACAACATTTTCATTAAAGCCATCTTTTAAAAAAAGATATTGTAATATACTACAAAATTATGGATAAATACAGATAGGTTTGTGTACTTGCTTTTAATATACAAGCAATTGAAAAATCTAATTATTTTACATTGTCTATGTATTTTTTATTTGTAATGCATTGCATTAAATAAGTGTTAATCTGTTCAAAATTATATCGGAAATAGTTTGAATTTTGAAATATTTTTTCAAATTAAGTCTATTTGAGATGTAAGATCATAAAAAAATATTGAGAAAAACATGGCTTGTTGAACAACAACTTTTAAAAATTTATAGCCTTGTCATGGAAAAAACCTGAGCGGTTATGAAATCTAAGTAAAGTTTAACATGCGAGTGGTAAACTCCTTTATAAATAAACAAAATAAGACTGTGAGAATACAGCAGTGCATATTTATAGACATCAAATATATGTAGATGATAATTAAATATATATTTTTTGTGTTGGGACTTTCTATTCTAAGTTTTTGTTTGTATAAAATGATAATGATTCAATCTGTTATTTTAAAAAAAAATAACATGCATTCAAATATCTGAGACTATATGTGTGAAGACATTTAAAAAATAATCCTGAAAAAAATCCCCTTTATGGAAAGGCACTTGTACAAAAATAACAATTTTCCAGAATAAAAAAATACAGTTATTCAATGAATTTTTGTGGTTCAAAACAATAAAAGTCATTATTACCCATATTAAAGAACTTAAATGTCACACAGCTGAATTTCAAAATAAATTCAATAATGTCAAACTATTTAAACAGACACTTATGTATATAAATGTTTAGAATGCAAAGGAAACTTCAATATAATAACAGAAAATAGAACACAAAGAGATGCAGTCTGGAAAAAAATCTACAGCAATACTGCATTTGAGACAAAAAATATCTCATATATTTTTGTGAATAGCAAAAATAACTTATTCTAATTCATTTCATAAATAACCAATACAAAGATTTAGCACCAACATTTAATCAGCATATATTTTGACAAAAATATTGGATTGAACATTATGAAAACATGTACCATTAATTGAGAGAGTATTCACAACAAGATGGATATGGTTTACATATAATTTAAAAAATTATAATTTGATAGTAAGACAAATGCCACAAATAAGAGATACCACTCCAGGGCAAGAATATAAAAATCACTCTAATGCGAAATTTAATGAAACACTCTTGGTAAGAAGATAAATAATCCAACACAAGACCAAGAGAAGTACTCCAGTGTAAGAGTAAAGCAAATACCCCTAAACAATAATAAAATGGATGAAAAAACTACTTCAGGAAAAGAATGAAATACTAACTCTAATATAAGATTAACAAAAATATTCTAAGACAAAAATAAAAGATAAAAATACTCCAGTGAAAAAGTTTAAGAAACAGTAAGAGAGCAAAAACAAAAGACATTAAAAGTTTAAACCTGAAAAAAAATTGTGTTAAAAAATACTATTTTTCTATTATATATATCAAAACAGGAATCATAATTAATTACTATTATAAAATATCATGTACAAAATAGAATATTTTAAACATATATATTAAAAATTCGGAAATCTTTGCTATGTTAATTGCGAATACTGCAATAAGATGGTTTTGAGAAAATAAAAACTTGCATTTTAAATTTTGATTGTATTGTTCGTATACAGCATTGCCTGAAATCACAATAATTAATCTCACAATTCCCTCTATTGTTCTACAATCACATTAAGAATTGCACAAAAAAAGTTATGAAATTAGGGACTACCATTTGATTTTTATGGGGAGGGGCTAGGATGAAAAATTTTGTCCTGCATTATTTTTTAGTTGAAATCACTGTCCTGCCTTTTTATTTTTCACTCTACTTGGTCCTGCCTTTTTTTATTAGTTTATCCTGCCTTTTTTTCACATAAATTATCATCCTGACTTTTTTTTTGCAAAGTTGCTCATCCTGCCTTTTTTTTTTTACTGAAAACTCCTGTCCTGCCTTTTTTTCAAATTCCATCCTCAAGGACATACAGACATAATTATAGTAGTACTGACGGAGTGCCCAAAGACATACAGACTAAGTTAAGTACTGACGGAGTGCCCAAAGACATACAGACTAAGTTAAGTACTGACGGAGTGCCCAAAGACATACAGACATAATTATCACACTTATCAATTCAATATACATGTACCGGGTACCTTACATAGAGACAGTACATTATTTTAATTTTTATATACTAAGCTTGCTTCAAACCTTTCCAGGCAGAGTTGACATCATTCATGTCTACAACTAGAGGATAGACCTTAAATTGATGAAACATTAAACATATAACATTTATGCTAAACTTTTTTGTTTGCACTTTAATCATATACATACAAAATCCATGTAAGTACAGATAAAAAATATATACCATATTACAAAAGACAAAATATCACAGATTATATGAAAGACACTTGGCATGGTTTTAAAAGTTTGCACTTTTTGCTGAGCAAATAAAAATATATAAAAAATGCAAACATATATATGTACATATACAAAATTGCTAGTACATTTAACAAAGCACATTAAACAAAGCACATTTAAACACATTTATGTCACATAGTCATTTGATCAAATGTTCAGTAGTATATGTATAAATAAACATTACAATATCCCAATATTCTTCATATATTATTTTTGTCAAGTATAAAATTGTCATTTCCACAATAAATAAAGTAGCTTTAGCTGTAAGCAATAAGACAAATTGTGATTTGTGAAAAGTCAAACTCAAAAGCAACAATTTCATTATTTCACTGTGCAGATTGTGAAACAATACCATGTAACAGTTGGTAAAGGTTTCCACAGAAGAATGCATGTGAGGCCTAAACAACTCTTAAGACAAATTTTACATCGGAACATTTGTGATTACCTATTCCTTTAAGGTATATTTTAATCAAGCAAATAGGGATTTAACAAATATAACCCTTTTAATAAAGTGTTAGCCATCCATCATATAATAGAAACATTCATATGTACTCGTCCATCATGATTTTATGTGTTTCTATTAAATTAAGGTTTAAAATGTAAGGCTACAAGTGATTTTACCAATTCCCAAATTGCTTCTTAAAAATTCTGCACTTAATCACTTGTTTTTATATTAGGGTCAAGTCTTTTCTAAGTTTGCTGTTGAATGACTGAGGTACTTTTATTAGTCCTCTACCAGCAAAGTTTGCTGTTGAATGACTGAGGTACTTTTATTAGTCCTCTACCAGCAAAGTTGGAGGTTGGTTTTAGTTTTCCTGGGTAAATCACAGTTTATTTCACTCATTTTCCCGTTATAGTGGTTAGTTCAATATTGATCCAGTTTCTAGTATATATATGTACACCTTAAAACAGGCACTCAAATGAGTTAAAAGGGTATTTAAACACTTACATACTCATTCAAGCAATAAAGACATGATAGAAGTAGATTAAAAACACTTATGACAATATAAGAGAAGCATTAGGTCCTCTTGCGCTTAAAATCCCTCCCCCCTCAGAGATTTTGAAAAGTTGGCAGGTATGATGTATCAACTCAAGTTATTAAAAGTTATGTATTCAACATTTTTGCTTAATTCAAATTCACATGAAATTTAGTCCTTGGGACTCAAGTAATGTCTTTAAACAAAACAGGTTGATTTTTATTCCAATCTATCTTTTTTTTTAATCATACCCCTTGGACTTAAGTATAACCGTTTTTCTATGGATATTACTGTAACAAGAAGGTGACACAAATTTTAGCTAGACCATCAGAATGCTTGCCACACCTGTATTTATAGCTACCACTGTTAAAACAGGGATCATCATCTTTCTATGCTACATATACAACAATAAGAAAGAAACAGAATTGTGCATTAATGAGTGATGATCTTTTGTAGTATTTTTTCACACGAGATTCTCAAGCGTTGGACATGATAGAGGGGCCTGATGGGTTATTTTCGTTCTTCGTGATCGGCGCATTTTCGCTATCGTGATCCTTTTTTCTACAGATTTTTTTTTTTTTATATTTTCGTGATCCGTGATCATGGAGAAATTTTTTTTCTGTGAATCGTAATTAACAAAAAAGTTAACTCGTGAATCGTGATGAGACCCCCCCCCCCATCAGGCCCCTCATGATAGACGTTACAAAAGAGTAGTTTGAAATACCCTCAAACATTAATCTTCCTTCAAGATGGTAGAACAATATGTACATGTACCTTCATGATAGTAAGACAATAAGTACCTTCATGATAGTAGGACAATAAGTATCTTCATGATAGTAGGACTATAAGTACCTTCATGATAGTAGGACAATAAGTACCTTCATGATAGTAGGACAATAAGTACCTTCATGATAGTAGGATAAGTACCTTCATGATAGTAGGACAATAAGTACCTTCATGATAGTAGGACAATAAGTACCTTCATGATAAGTAGGACAATAAGTACCTTCATGATAGTAGGACAATAAGTACCTTCATGATAGTAGGACAATAAGTACCTTCATGATAGTAGGACAAGATAGTAGGACAATAAGTACCTTCATGATAGTAGGACAATAAGTACATGTAATTTACATTCATTTAAAAAATAAAGGAATGTACAAACTATAGTATTTAAAAACAGTGTAAATATGGCTTGATCTTGTTGCATTTCTTTTTGTAACTTGTGCATTGATTGAACAATGAATGCCAAGTAAATGAGATCATGAGTTCCTGATTTATCTATGGGTTTTGCTTTAGTCCTTTTCAGGTACTGGAAACCTCAAGCTGGTCTTTCTCGTGCAATGATTGGACCCGAAACAGTATATTCATTTTCACCAGATATGATACTATCGTATGTATCCCCTGTTTGTCCTAGAAGAAGAAAATATACAAAAATTATCTAGTTGTAATTCTTAATCTGAATCAAGTCACAATATATAGAGATACATGTATCAACATTTTAAAATTGCAATATCATTTGCAATAAAAGACTGGCATGTTTTAAATACTTATATTTAAGCCAAAATAATTTTTTAAGAAGGAGATAAAATGTAGATTTTTTTCAAGTGTTGTTCTTTAATCTATTTTTTATAAAATCAACTATGTGACTTATGGTCCATAACTTTGATGTACAATACAGGAAGATTGCAATAGTAGTGAAAAATCGCTGATTTAATTACCACATAGCTATTAGAGATACTTGCCAAAATAGGTATACAATGAAAATGAAAGAATGAAAGGGAACTCTGTTTTCCTTTATATATTTGTGATGCATATCAATGATTGTGCCACGATATCCACATTTGGACCTAAATATACGTGGGAAATTATGTGGGTACGAAGATCAGTTACCCTTTCTTATGAAACTAACCACTTGAAAGAAATTTCGAATTGATCTAAACATCAATGTTATATCTATTAGCAATAAAATGCTCCGCGGGGGCGCAGCTTGATACGACCGCAGAGGTTGAACCCTGAACAGTTGGGGCAAGTATGGACACAACATTCAAGCTTGATACAGCACTGAATTTGGATTGTAATTAAATATTTGACACAGCATAGGTTTCTTACACAGAATGAAAGTGGTCTAAGAACTTAAAAATTTTTAATTTACCTATTCAAACCATATCATTAATATTTGCTTTTATATATAAATCAGAAATAACCAATTTAAAATGGAAAATTTTAAATAAAAAAAAGGAAACCCCCCCCCCCCCCCCCCAACTTTTTGAACCCCCTTATGATTCATCCCAGCTTTCCCTTTGTGGTATGGTATCTTGCAGTACAATTTCAGAGAGATCCATACACTTAAACACAAGTTATTGTCTGGAAACTAGAAAAATGCTTGTTTTTTGGCCCCAAATTCCTAAACGTTTAGGGCAATTACCCCCAAACTCAAACCCAGCTTTCCCTTTGTGATATGGAACCTTGCAGTACAATTTCATACAGATCCATACACTTACACACAAGTTATTGTCCTGAAACTAGAAAAATACTTGTTTTTTTGCCCTTTTATGGCCCCTAATTACTAAAATTTTGAGGGAATTACCCCCTAAATCAATCCCAGCCTTCCCTTTGTGGTATGGTACCTTGCAGTACAATTTCAGAGAGATCCATACACTTAAACACAAGTTATTGTCTGAAACTAGAAAAATGCTTATTTTTGGCCCCTTTTTGGCCCCTTATTCCTAAACTTTTTGGGGAATTACCCCCAAACTCAATTCCAGCTTTCCCTTTGTGATATGGAACCTAGCAGTACAATTTCAGAGAGATCCATACACTTAAACACAAGTTATTGTCTGGAAACTAGAAAAATGCTTGTTTTTTGCCCCTTTTTGGCCCCTAATTCCTAAATTTGGAGGCAATTACCCCCAAAATCAATCCCAGCATTCCCTTTGTGATATAGAACATTGTGATACAATGTCAGAGAGATCCATACACTTACACACAAGTTATTGTCATGAAACTAGAATAATGCTTGTTTTTTGCCCCTTTTTGGCCCCTTATTCCTAAAATTTGGAGGCAATTACCCCCAAATCAATCCCAGCATTCCCTTTTTGATATAAAACCTTGTGATACAATGTCAGAGAGATCCATACACTTACACACAAGTTATTGTCATGAAACTAGAAAAATGCTTGTTTTTTGCCCCCTTTTGGCCCCTAATTCCTAAAATTTGGAGGCAATTACCCCCAAAATCAATCCCAGCATTCCCTTTGTGATATGGAACCTTGTGGTACAATGTCAGAGAGATCCATACAATTACACGCAAGTTATGTCTGGAAGTTACAAAAATGCTTATTTTTGGCCCCATTTTGGCCCCTAATTCCTTAACTGTTGGTACCATAACCCCCAAAATCAATCCCCACCTTCCTTTTGTGGTATTGAACCTTATGATAAAATTTCATTGAGATCCATCTACTTAAACTAAAGTTAGAGTGCGAAAACTAATGTGTCATTACAACGATGACGACGACAACGATGACGACGACGACAACGATGCCAACGTCAAACCAATATACAACCACAAAATTTTTTTTGCGGTCGTATAAAAATAGAAGGAGACATGTCAAATGAACAAAACACATCTTCCTTCTGACTGTAAATTCAGGTCTTCTTTCTTTGCTAAATTTGAACTTATCTTGAATTTAAGTTACTTGAAATCGGCATTTTACACTATGTTGAGAAGGGTGTAGAATTCAATATTTAAATTTCAAAACCTTTTTTAAAAATTATTTGACTCAAATTTGTTGTCTAATGCAAGCTTTAATATTTCTTGGTCTAAAAACAGTTAGTTTTCCCAAGTCAACATGGTCAATGAGGTCACGTCCTTACAACTGTATCTTGTAACAAAAGGTCCAAGAATCAGAAAACTCAGCATTTCCTTTCCTAAATTGGACTAAACAAAACAAAGTTTTAGAAATAAAATAAAATAAATTGTCAATATCAGTATGGCGTATTTATGAATATATCTGTGCTTGCATTTAATACCAGATTACAGTAAGTCGTAACTGACTGTAACAGCTGTCTTGAATAAATAAACTAGCTCATACATTCCTCTTATGGTTTCAGTAATCATATAGTTCAGTTACAGAAATAGAAGTAAACTTACCAAGGTGCTTCCTAAGAAATCCTAGTGTAGCTTTATTTGAGACATCTATGGCAATTTTTGGAGATAATGTGTGTCGAACATCCATAAACATACCAAGAGGTTTTTTTACTAAAAATTGAAAGTCAGTAACACTCTGATGGCATGTTCCTCTGCAAGAGAAAAGATATTGTTATTTTGGAAATTAAAAGATTTACAAATTCAGACATAACAAAATTCAACTGCTGTTTAAGAGCATGAATAATTTGATAAGGGTTTTTATCATATCATTATCCTTTAATGATTACTGCATGCAGAAAAAAACATGAGGAAAAAGTTTTCTTTAAAGTTGTGCATGTTACGTTTGAAATGCTGAAACTAAATATAATAGAACAATTTCTTAGTGAGTCTCAAACAATTCTGATCACAAAAGTTTTAGGTTTGACCATTTCCTTGCTATTAGGACCTTGCTAAGTTTAGTGAATTATGATTGTGAGATAGAATGTTGAATTGATACTTAGGTTTCAGATTTCTTTTTCTCAAAAATGTGCTATATCCTGTTTTAGACGTTTTGACATTTTATTTTTTTTTTAAATCTCTACACAGTTCAACTTAACATTATAAATTTCCAGACCAAATATCAAATCATATAACAATACTACCCAGTCTACAAATAGAAAATAACTATCCAAAGCCTTATAATGTTAATTAACTCTCTTACTTAATTGTTATCATAGGTCTCTGAACCTTGGGATCTTCTTGGAGCCGTTGCATTTGATCCACATTTTCCTGCCATTGAAACGTCTCCATATTAATCATCAGTACAGGCTGCGTAATGTTTTTATACATTTCTTCATCAAGAGGATGCATCCACCCATCCATCATAACTCCAACTCTGAAAAGTTTATATTATTATTAAGCTGCATTATAACAGAATTAATGATTGTAGATTTGATATTATAAACGTGCGCTGTGAAATCATATTTTCCAATTTTAAATAAAAAAAAATATATTAGCTTGTCCACATTAGGCTACTGTGGATTCATTAATCAATTTTTGTGGATTGAGGAAAACTTACATTTTCATGTACAAATGTATATTTAATTTCATGGTCTGTCTGCATACAAACCCAGACAAAATTTGCAATTCTTGGAACATTCAAGTTCATTGTTCACCTGTTCCTATGAAATCCACAAAGATTGGTATCCAACGAATAACAATGAATCCACAGTATCTTCATCATGTATTTGTTGTTGTTTGTCTTTGTTTTACATTTATTTTCCAGGACGAGTCAGTTGTTGGTTATACATGTTATACATGTTATACATGTTATCTGTTGCACAGTCAAATATTTTTGGTAATTCCTGTTACTTTGTATATTAATTCATCAGCTTCAAAGCTTTTTTGAGCCCAAAAATAGCAAATAAGATTAAATCAAATTATGTATTGTCTGAAACATATGTCATATATAGTCTTGTGGTTCAATATACTGTAGTCATTTTGTTACTAAATACATGTATATATAGTGTAGAGATTGTTTTTGCTGCTAAAAACAAACACACTGTCATTGCTGCTTTGTGACTGTGACAATTATTGGAAAGACTTTGTTATTAAAAAACACAAATTGTCACGACTTTGTTATTAAAAAACACAAATTGTCACGACTTTGTTATTAAAAAACACAAATTGTCACGACTTTGTTATTAAAAAACACAAATTGTAATGACTTTGTTATTAAAAAACACAAAGTGTCACGACTTTGTTATTAAAAAACACAAAGTGTCATTGTTGTAATTTCTTTGTTGTAAAAATAAACACACAGTAATTGCTGTCAGTTTATATCAGACAATCTCAATACACACTGTATCTGCTAGAAAGACTTCACACTATAGTTGATCTTAAAAATACATAACTGTCATTGGTGGCTGGACTATTTTGTTAAAACACATACCCTGTCATTGTAATTTTAAATACATTATTTTCTTAGAATATACACTATCATTGATGCCATGATTTCTTTGTTTGTAAAAATATCAATTTTATTTCATTTTTTGTGAATTATAAGGACATCATTCGTAAATATAGCTCAACATGCAGACTTCTTATACGTTCAGGTATTTCACATCCAATTTTTTATGGAAATATTCTTTATAAAGCACAAAAATGTCAGTATTCACCTCTGAAGCTAACAAAACTAAATATAATAGAACAATTTCTTAGTGAGTCTCAAACAATTCTGATCACAAAAGTTTTAGGTTTGACCATTTCCTTGCTATTAGGACCTTGCTAAGTTTAGTGAATTATGATTGTGAGATAGAATGTTGAATTGATACTTAGGTTTCAGATTTCTTTTTCTCAAAAATGTGCTATATCCTGTTTTAGACGTTTTGACATTTTATTTTTTTAAATCTCTACACAGTTCAACTTAACATTATAAATTTCCAGACCAAATATCAAATCATATAACAATACTACCCAGTCTACAAATAGAAAATAACTATCCAAAGCCTTATAATGTTAATTAACTCTCTTACTTAATTGTTATCATAGGTCTCTGAACCTTTAAATAGACTTATCAAGAAGGGATATAGTTACGATACTGTTGTCAGGTCATTAAAGATTGCATATTTTGGCGTTAATATTGATTCACTTATAGGGTCTTTGCATCTGCACTAAACACATTTATTTAACAAGAGTGCACACGCTGAAATGTCTCGCCTTCTTTACTAATCATTGATATTATGTTGATAGTCCTAAATATAAAGCTTTATTACAACTGTCACATAAACTTAACATTAACCAAGTAAACTAAACATTGATCAATGAACCATGAAAATGAGGTCAAGGTCAGATGAACCATGCTAGGCAGGCATGTACAGCTAACAATTCTTCCATACAACAAATATAGTTGACCTATTGCTTATAGTTTAAGAAAAACAGACGAAAACACAAAAACTTAACACTGGGCAATGAACCTTGAAAATGAGGTCAAGGTCAAATAAAACCTGCGTGACTGACATATAGATCATAAAATATTTCCATACACCAAATATAGTTGAGCTATTGCATATAGTATAAGAAAAAAAGACCAAAACTCAAAAACTTAACTTTGACCACTGAACCATGAAAATGAGGTCAAGGTAAGATGACACCTGCCAGCTAGACATGTACACCTTACAATCATTCCATACACCAAATATAGCTGACCTATTGCATGCAGTATTAGAAAGAAAGACCAAAACTCAAAAACTTAACTATGACCACTGAACCATGAAAATGAGGTCAAGGTCAGATGACACCTGCCAGCTAGACATGTACACCTTACAATCATTCCATACACCAAATATAGTAGACCTATTGCATACAGTATAAGAAAAACAGACCAAAACACAAAAACTTAACTATAACCACTGAACCATGAAAATGAGGTCAAGGTCAGATGACACCTGCCAGTTGGACATGTACACCTTACAGTCCTTCCATACACCGAATATACTAGACCTATTGCTTATAGTATCTGAGATATGGACTTGACCACGAAAACTTAACCTTGTTCACTGATCCATGAAATGAGGTTGAGGTCAAGTGAAAACTGTCTGACGGGCATGAGGACCTTGCAAGGTACGCACATACCAAATATAGTTATCCTATTACTTATAATAAGAGAGAATTTAACATTACAAAAAATCTGAACTTTTTTTTCAAGTAGTCACTGAACCATGAAAATGAGGTCAAGGACATTGGACATGTGACTGACGGAAACTTCGTAACATGAGGCATCCATATACAAAGTATGAAGCATCCAGGTCTTCCATCTTCTAAAATATAAAGCTTTTAAGAAGTTAGCTAACGCCGCCGCCGCCGGATCGCTATCCCAATGTCGAGCTTTCTGCGACAAAAGTCGCAGGCTCGACAAAAACCAGTTGTTGGCATGACACGGGTTATATTCTTCTCATATATGTTATGATGGTATGATACTAAACCCCTAACGGGAAGGATTGTGCCTGATATTCATATGATGAAGATATAATCTTTCAATCAGTTTAATTGAAGTCTGGAGCTGGCATGTCAGTTAACTGCTAGTAGTCTGTTGTTATTTATGTATTATTGTCATTTTGTTTATTTTCTTTGGTTACATCTTCTGACATCAGACTCGGACTTCTCTTGAACTGAATTTTAATGTGCGTATTGTTATGCGTTTACTTTTCTACATTGGCTAGAGGTATAGGGGGAGGGTTGAGATCTCATAAACATGTTTAACCCCGATGCATTTTTGCGCCTGTCCCAAGTCAGGAGCCTCTAGCCTTTGTTAGTCTTGTATTATTTTTAGTTTTAGTTTCTTGTGTACAATTTGGAGTTTAGTATGGCGTTCATTATCACTGAACTAGTATATATATTTGTTTAGGGGCCAGCTGAAGGACGCCTCCGGGTGCGGGAATTTCTCGCTGCATTGAAGACCTGTTGGTGACCTTCTGCTGTTGTCTGTTCTATGGTCGGGTTGTTGTCTCTTTGACACATTCCCCTCATTTCCATTCTCAAATTTATACTATAATTACCAAGTAAGAATAAAACTTTTTATTAAAAGTTGTTCCTTAAATGTACAATGTGGATTTATAATAATTTAAAGAGTTTTAGCTGGCATTGGCTAACCAATTAAAAAGTGTTCAGCAAAACTGTACAAAACCATGGCATCAAGTATGCACAAAAATACAATGTTTCCTCTTTCTTGATTAATCTTAATTTGTTGTGTCATTGTTCTCCTCTTATATTAGATGCGTTTCCCTCAGTTTTAGTTTGTAACCCGGATTTGTTTTTATCTCTATCGATTTATGAGTTTTGAACAGCGGTATACTACTGTTGCCTTTATTTACATTAAAATACATTAAAATATTGTTTCTATATTAGATAGTTTTCCATTTACATAATAATAGTAAGATATATTTCCCTTTGTAATCATGTTGGAGGGCATCTTGTGCTAAATTCTTCATAAATCAGCCTAATTCAACTTATACCGACAGACTTTTACATTGTGTCATAGGTCAAATTTATTTGTTCAGTGTATGTTCAATGGTGTTAATATGTCCTTTGATTGAGTTAAGCTATTTCAGTTGATATTTTATAGTGTGTCTTTCTATGTTGTGATGTTACACTATTGTTTCAGAAAAAGGGTGAAGGTTTGGTACCATTAAAACGTTTAAACCCGCTGCATTTGTTTGCACCTGTCCTAAGTCAGGAATCTGATGTTCAGTAGTTGTCGTTTGTTGATGTGGTTCATAAGTGTTTCTCGTTTCTCGTTTTTTATATAGATTAGACCGTTGGTTTTCCCGTTTGAATGGTTTTACATTAGTAATTTTTTGGGGCCCTTTATAGCTTACTGTTCGGTGTGAGCCAAGGCTCCGTGTTGAAGACCGTACTGTGACCTATAATGGTTTACTTTTATAAATTTTGACTTGGATGGAGAGTTGTCTCATTGGCACTCATACCACATCTTCTTATATCTATTTACTGCAGGGTTTGTTGCTCGTGCTGTTTGGATGCAGTAGAATGTGTCCCCGTGCTTGTGGTGTATGCCCTTATATTTTTTAATTATGGGTTGTTTGCCTGTGAGAGAGCTTTCACATGTTTATATCTTTGTTCTTAATTATCAATTATATATTATGGTGTTTGGATGTATAAATACTCATCCACGCCTGCTATTTTTATTATTGCCCCCTGCTATGGTTTTACTAAGATTTCTTACAATCTCTGTTTTTGCCCTGTGTTTGTTATATGTCAGTATTGTAATACTTAAGTCTTTAAGTCGGGCCCTTTATACCAGTTTTAGTAAGATTTCTTTTACTGCTTTGCCTATTATTTCCTATTCCGTAATTGTGATCCTTATTCATTGTTACAACCTCCGGTCTTTTTTATTTTTCCTATACCCCTATTTAATTATCATGATTTTACGCAATGGAAAGAAAATTATTAACAACACAACTTCTAGGATATCCACGTGCTTAAACAAACGTATTTGTAATGACTCTACAGCCAGATTGTTTAACAAAAATGCGCGTGGATATCCACAAATTTTCCCGTGCAATGCCAAAAAGTGACTAACCTGTTTTAGATTAACTTCACAAAATACTGTACGGTCAACAGTGAACGGGAGAGCTTTTTCGCTCTCCTTTTCCTGTGACATTACCTGAAAAACTCAAAACCTTATATATGTGGTAACTTGAACCCAACCTAAGTGTGGTATTCAATATGTGGGACAGACGGGACGAGCGTATTACAAAAGAAATCAAGAACACCTTTACCGCTTTCGTAGACCTAAAAAATTCAAAAGTTTGATATATCAACATTTAGATAAGCATAATCACAATCTAAAATTTATTAAATTCCAACCACTTGAAACCATTCAGAAACAACCAGGAGAATCACACAAGCAATTTGAAAAATCATGTGAAGTTCGCGAATTATTTTGGATAAAAAGACTTCAAACAGCTTATCCTCTCGGTCTTAATGACAAAATATTAGGACAGGGGAACATAACTAAAACTTCAATGGATGTCATTAATATTGTCGATAAACGACTTAGAAATAAAAGGTCTCATGGCGAACGCAAAAACCGTAATCAACGTATTAAACATCGTATAAATTATACACTTGCTGATCTGTTATCTATAATAAAAAATAATGGCAGACATCAAGTATTATGCAAACTGGGTCAGATACCAATAATTAAATTATATGCTATTTTTCTGGAGTGTGATACAATTTCTTTTTTTAGCCCAATGTATGAATACACCCGTATTATTACAGCCTTTTGTCATCATAGGCTATTTCCTAGTATCGATAAACCTGAAAATCATAAACGGCATTTTCTTAAATTAAAATATATAAATAGAGGTATTGATTTTATTAACTTATCTAGTATATTCAATGACTCTACCATCCAAAGCCAAATACCTTGATAATATATTATTATTAGAACCACCTATTATTTTGTATTCTTATAAAAAAACCAGCAGAAGTTTGATTTTTAATTATACGTCAGTTACATCAGACGTCAATATAGAAAATAATGTTCCTTCCACTTGAGATTGTGAAACATCTAGTTTTAGATATGTTCCCTATGGTCATGTCCTTACAGGAGACCTCAACATCGTCGAAGACCGTGAGGTCATAACTGTTCTTAAGAAAGGACTGAAATATCGTCCTCCATCTAAAATAGATTGGAAACAGTGTCGTCAGATCATTAAAGACGCTCTGTCTGTCTACTGTAAAAATTGGTGTAAACGTGAAAAATCTGATAATAAATCTCTAGACAGTTATTTGAATAAATTTATGAATACTGTTAATATTCGTATATCTCATTTTGAAAACAATTCTGAAATTAGTAATAGGGTCCATGAAATTCCCATTTCCAGAATAAAAAATAAACTCCAAGTACTCGCAAAGCGGTTTGTGTTCGTACCAGCAGACAAAGCAGCAAATAATGTAGTGGTGGTGTGACGCATATACTACATGGAAGTTCTCCAAAACGAAATTACAAATTCATCTACATTCAGGTCCGTACGCTCCACAGAGAGTCAAATTGTAAACAAGCATATCACTGCCACTACCCAGCTTAAGGCCTCTTCCGAACATTTGAAAGTCCCTACTATGTACTGGTTACCTAAATTGCACAAAAAACCATTTAAATTCCGTTTCATCTCCGCATCTAGTAAGTGTTCTACTACTAATCTATCAGTGCTTCTAACTACCTCCCTTACTACTATCAAAGAACTTGTTATTAACTTTTGTAATAAAGCTTATGAAAATAATGGTATTAATTATTTTTGGAGTGTTAAAAATTCTTTAGAGGTTTTAGATAAAATACATGCTTTTGATGGTCCTTTTAATTCTGTTGACAGTTATGATTTTTCTACTCTCTATACTACACTTCCACACAATCTTATCAAGAAAAAGTTTTCATATTTAATTAAATGGTCTTTTGAAAAATCTCGTTACAAATTTATTTGCTGTAACTCGTTTAAAGCCTTTTTCTGTAACGAAAAAGGAAAGTATGCTAGATTCACTTACTGGAAATGTGAAGCTTTAAATTTTCTCCTGGACAACATATATGTACGTTTCGGCGATAGAATGTATTGACAGGTAGTAGGTATTCCTATGGGCACTAACTGCGCCCCTTTAATAGCAGATTTATTCCTGTATTGCTATGAATCTCAGTTTATGACCAAACTCAGTAAAGACACGTCATTGTTACATTTGGTTGATACATTCAACAATACCTTCCGTTATCTAGATGATATTTTTTCGTTAAATAATCCAGAGTTCTCTAAATATACTACCGAAATTTACCCAATAGAACTTACTTTAACTAAATCTAACATAAACAGCAGTAGTTGTCCTTTTCTGGATTTGGACATTTCAATCTCTAAAGGAAAACTCCATACGAAAATTTACGACAAAAGAGACGATTTTTCATTCCCTATTGTTAATTTTCCTTTTTTAGACGGCGATGTTCCTTTGGCTCCATCATACGGTGTATATATATCCCAACTCGTTCGTGATGCCTGTGTGTGTAGTGATGTCATAGATTTTAACGAACGTAATCAATGCATCACTGGTAAATTATTAAATCAAGGATTTCGTTACCATAAATTACGTAAAACTTTTGCTAAGTTCTTTCATAGATACAAAGATTTGATTAGTAAATTTGGCTGTACTTGTAGAAAACTGATTAAAAACGGTATTTCACATCCTAAATTTTACGGTAATATTGTACTTAAAGCGCGGAAATCACTATGTGATCCGTGTAAACTCATCGAACCTTTAAACAGGCTCATTAGTAAAGGTTATCTTACCAATGTTGTAATTAGATCTTTGAATATAGTTTACATTGGCACTAATATCGATTTTGTCATCAGCAAATTAAAACATAACTAAATTTGTATTTTTTTCAAGTGGAATGTATAAAGACACACCCACGTTCGTTTAGATCTATAAAGAGATTAAACTCCTAACTATCCTACTGTCTGTCGATACATTTATTTTTGGCATTGCACTAGTCATGTCTTCTTTGACTGTCCATGACGTTAAAATACTAAATCCCTGGGATGTGTTTTAGTTGATTTTAGTCTCTGATGCATGATTTTTTATTATTAATTGTTTTGGCTTTTAACTAGCTGTCAGTAACTGCGAGTACTCTCAAATCGTACTTTCTTGTTTATTTGACCTGTTGATACTAATTGTTTTGCTTTTTTGCTATTTAATGTTATTCAGGATTATATCTGGTCTATATACCAGCTTTGATAAGTGTTTGGTATAACTATAAATTTTTACTTCGTACTATGAACATCAAAATTATTTATTTTGTAAAAGTATTTCCTTTCTCTATTAGTACTGTACACTTATACCTAACAACAAAATTATTTGAATGGTTTTACATTAGTAATTTTTTGGGGCCCTTTATAGCTTACTGTTCGGTGTGAGCCAAGGCTCCGTGTTGAAGACCGTACTGTGACCTATAATGGTTTACTTTTATAAATTTTGACTTGGATGGAGAGTTGTCTCATTGGGACTCATACCACATCTTCTTATATCTATTTAGAAAAAGGTTGTTTTCTGAACAATTAATTTTCTTTTGTTTAAGCCTTGAATAATTCTTCAGTGCAATCTTTTATCAGACAAACTTGTACCACATGCTTAAATTTGGTAAGTCAAATTAACCAGTCTGTTGAGACTCTGCTCTAAAACAAATAATTCAGTCATTATAGTCCACTGCTCTATGATGGCTAAATAGACATTGAAAAATCACCAATCAATCATCTGAGAAGTTTTTAGGGTAAAAGAAATACAGTCCTTCCCAAGAAGGAAATATTGATAAGGGACTGGATTATTCTGGTTAAGTCTGCACTCCAACATGGCAGACAAGGGAAATAACTCCAACTCAAATCATGTCTATAGAAAACTGTCCATCATAGACATCTACTTACTTGAATCTTGTGTCTTTTGATAGAGCACATACAGTGGTAGAACCACCAAATGAATGCCCAACAAGTGATACTTTTGACAGATCAAATAAATTCTACAATGTAGAAACAGAAAATATAATAGTGGTAATAAACTATAACGTAATTACAAACGTAAAAGCTCACTTATTTGCAGAAAGCAACATGTAAAAAATAAAACAATCGAGTCACAATCAAATATCAAGATAAACGTTACAATGGTATGTCCACAATTAATAAACTGTTAACACAGAGATATGTCTCGCCTATTTGTTATTTTGATAATGCAAATGTTGAAATTAAAATAGCAATACTTTAACATGTAAGTTATGCAAAGTCAATGAACCATGACTGATGAAGGTACAGGGCTAAACAATCTCCATGGAAATGAGATGTGCCAATGCTAATACAACTGCAAACCAAATACCATTGACTTTTCATAAGTCAGCTGTGCATCTTAGTGCTTACAATTATAGAATAATATGAATTAACTCAAAAGAAACAGATTAAGAGTGTAATTTAGTCATATTATTTCAGTTTTTGGTTTTTTTTTTTAAAAAGTGGGGTGGGGGGATTTAACAAACTCAAGGCACAGCCTCTGCATATAACCAATACACCCACTGCAACAACAAAGTACCAGGTAAATCAGACAAACAATATTCCACCACAAATTACTGAGTAAATAAGATAATGACCAAGAACCCTTCCATATTTAGATAAAGAAATGTATGTCCTGCTCTTTATATAGCAACTGTTGCTTTTCTCATAATATTCTGGTAAAGATCCATGTCAGACTATGTGGTATGGGTTTTGCTCATTATTGAAGGCTGTACAGTGACCTTTAGTTGTTAACTTCTATGTCATCTGGTGGAGAGTTGTCTCAATTGGCAAGCATACCATTCTTACCACATCTTTTTATTTTTATATTATATGGTAAATATTTCTATCACTATTATCTGTGTGGCCTTCCAGTTAACAGCTAATACTAACATATATCAATGTTTTACATAACCAAATACTTACTTTAAACAGTTTGAGGTTAAAATTTCCCCCAAGTTGATTTAGTATTGTTACTCCATTATCGAGGTCTGTTAAAACATTCAGTGCTAATGTACATTCCTGAGCCCTTTGATACACCTTAGTATACAAAATAAAGAATAAGTATTATTTCCAATCAATTCAAAACTAGTGTTCACATAGCAAGGTAAAAAAAGTGGTCATTTTCAGTCTTTTTTCCCATCTTTTAGCTGAATACATCTGCATTGTGTAAATGCATTAAAAAAACTAATAATAAATCATATTTGTTTAGTTTATCTATGTTATAAGTTCAATTTCAAAATAACCCTTTCTATATCATGTTGGTGTTTTGTGTTTGTAAAATAAATACTATAAATTTAACTTTACAGTTCTTAAACTGTGTAAAAAATTACGTTCGCAACTTCTCACGCTAAAGCTCACCTGTTTGTTTCTACTTTCATAATCATCCCACCGAGGAGGTGAAAAATCAAATGGCATCCATTCTTCTGTAAAACTATGTGTTCTGTGCATTTGGCTATTGTTACTATTGGATACATTTACTGTACTTTTAATGTCCTGTTTGAGTTGAAAGGTCATGGATGCTGACCCATCCCTGTTAAAAAAAAAATTATTAGTATCTTTCAAAGTGTAATCACAGTATCAACTTTCCTTAAGAATTTGGCTTTAATGGTAGATCGTTGATAGAACATTTATTGTTGGCTTTTCAGTACTCAGGGCATTAAGTTCAGCTTGGCATATTGTATAGAGTCTATACAATAGACATTTTTTTTTATTAAAGACTGAAAGCCAAGATGCCCTTTAGTTTTTTATGCTCTACAGTTAAGGTCCCACATCACCTTTTATTCAAAGTGAACAGTATGGGTTGCAGTGCAAAGTATTAATTCATATTTGATGAACTTTACATTTGCCTAAAAAGTAACGATATCTGTCAATACATATTGTAAACATTTTTTTATGAAACCATTTCAGCCAAAGAAAATAAACCACATGATCATATTTTTTTCATTTTTCATGATATTAGGCATTCACAATATTACTTTCATAAACTTTAATTTCCTCACTGAAGATACTGTATTTATTTCACACTCATTGCCAGAGGGTTCGGATGACATTTTTTTCAAAATGGAGACCAGTAAAGTGGAAATTAAGAGATACCTGACTACAGACTGTATTTGCAGTAGTTATGTAAATAACAAAAACCCAGTGTAATACAAGCAATGACTAGGAAAGAACCTATTTTCCTTGATATCGATAATTATAATATTGAAGGGGAAATGTGCAATTCATTGTTCACCCATCTGTGAAAGCTTATTGAAATGTTTCTTTATTAGCTGATCTGGTCACACATGAAGTATTATAAGTTTACTTTATATTTACAAAGTTAAGTTAACATTCTAAAATATAGTTCTGATCTGTCAAATAAGCAAACTGTGAAGAATAGAAATGATTTTTAATCAATTTTTATTATGTTTCTTCAATTTTGGTTATTAGACCATGAGAAATATAAATTTCTTTATAGAGTATTAATTCTTTTCAACCATAAGTTTAGTGCATTCAATTACATTTGAACACATTTTATAGGATTTTTTTTGTCATGTAGTGCTTTTTAAGACCAATATTAAAAAAAATTCCTGTACAGTTTACATACAACATTTTTGGTAAAATATCAAAATGTTTAAAAAATTACCAGTTTTAATCTTTTAACTAATGTACATGTAACCATAACATCTATATTTAGAGTTTGACATAATGTATTATAGATACTCGTCTATTAATCCCAGATTTAAATAAATGCACCTGGAATCAAAATTGTTCTTGATAAAAACAGTAAATTTTCATAAAAAATGTAACAATAGATTACAATTATTTCTGTATTCATTAATTTCTATCATCATTTAAAATTATGCAGCTTACTGTTCCACTCATTAAAAAGTCTTTTTCACTGAGGAGAGTGAACACCACACCTGCATAATCACTACAAGTTTTTTTGTGTTTTTTTTACTATTGGTATATGATGTTTAATATTTTACAATGTTTGCATTGTGTATATTGTTGTATTGTTTGCCTTCAACCCCTCTGGGTATAAATGTGCATTTCTTAATAAATTAATTGGTACTCCTAATTGTATTTCATGGAAAACCATGGTTACATACCTGTGTTCAATAGCTGCCACAATATAACCCTGAGAAGCCAGTTCACAGCAGACAGTAGTGTTACATGTTCTGTTACCACCAATACCATGAGAGAATATCACCACTGGGTACCGTTTACCAGGAAGGGGAAAGTGTTGCCACAGTGCAGGTACATAGACATCACCTGCAGAAACAAATACAATTTGGACATTTTTAATTTATTTATAAAATAAATCTGGTTTAGAAATGTGTACAGCGACTTGCCTGCTGGGTTTACTAAAACATCACATATACAGTTTTTTTGGTGTTTGGAATGCTTTTATTGGATTGACCCACTGCCATTTTTAAATACATCCAAAATAGCCCAAAAGTTTGAAATAAAAGTGGAATGTGTCCATGGGACACAGATGATGCCCCCGCTTCCACATAACATTATAAAGGGACATCACTCAAGAACCGTAGAAGTGACGCCACCCAAATTTGTACATGATCACAGTTTTGTGGTAATAAGCATTGTGTATAAGTTTCATACCATTAGATTGAGGCAAATTTATGAAAGAGAAAGGAAACGAAAATTCAGCAATTTTTCCATTTGTACCGTGCAAAGAGGCATAACTCTGGAACGGTTAAAGTGATGCCACCAAAATGCAAACTTGATCAGTGTTTTATAGTAATAAGCATTGTGTATAAGATTCATAACATTTTGTTGAGGCAAACTAAAGTTAGAGAACAGAAACGAAAAATTCAGCGATTTTTTTATTTGTAAAAGGACATAACTCTTGAACGATAAAAGTGATGCCACCAAAATTCAAACTTGGTCTGTGTTTTATAGTAATAAGCATTGTGTATAAGATTCATAACATTTTGTTGAGGCAAAGTAAAGTAAGAGAACGGAAACGAAAAATTTCAACAATTTTCCCATTTGTGAAGGGGCATAACTGTAGAATGGTTAAAGTGACACCACCAAAATTCAAACTTGATCTGTATTTTGTGGTAATAAGCATTGTGTATAAGTTTCATTATTAAACATTTGGTTGAGGCAAACTAAAGTAAGAGAACGGAAACAAGAAATTCTAGAACAGTTATATTGACACCACCAAAATTAGGATGAAAAATTTAGTCCTGCATTTTTTTTAGTTGTAATCTCTGTCCTGCCTTTTTTTTTATTATATACTTTATCCTGATTTTTTTTACATATTAAAATTGTCATCCTGCCTTTTTTTTTTTGCCAAGTTGCTCATCCTGCCTTTTTTTTTACTCAAAACTCCTGTCCTGCTTTTTTTTTTTCAAATTTCATCCTAGGCCCCCCCCCAATAAAAATCAAATGGTAGCTCCATAAAGTGACACCACCAAAATCAAATTTGATCTGTGTTTTGTGGTGATAAGCATTTTGTATAAGTTTCATAACATTTGGTTGAGGGAAACTAAAGTTAGAGAACGGAAACCAACTTCGGGACATACAGACGTACGTACGGATGGACAAGGGTAAAACTTAATGCCCCCTCCACTATGGCGGGGGCATAAAAAGTTAGGTAAGCAACAACATTATCACATAAAGGAAATTTTATTTTGATTATGAAATATATCTCAAGTGACTAGTTGCACACTCAATCGGGCAGATAAGAATTTCTAATATTGAGATAGCTGTAAGAAGAGACATATGCAATATATTTTTTTGCCTACACAATCGACTATTGTCGTTGGTTCATGTCGGTCATTGCATATTTGTTTTTTTTTGTTAATTGTATTGTAATAAATTAGGATGTTAGTTTTCTCAATTGAATTGTTTCATATTTTTCATGTTGGGGCCTTTTATAGCCAACTATACGGTATGGTTTTTTTCATTGTTGAAGGTCATAGGCCTGCCTATAATTGCTTACATCCACTTTATTTGAACTTCGGTGGATGGTTGTCTCATTGGCAATCATACCTCATCTCCTTATTTTTATATACTAGGCAACAATTGAACAGATATACTTGATTCAGATCCTGTTAAAAGTATAACCGTCAAGTCAAATTTTCAGATTATAATGCATGTATTTTTTCTAATATAATGTATGTAGATCTTTACAATTACAATTAGGAATAAACATTTGGAACCATTATACAAACCTCCCATCCAATTAAACATTTTCCCTAGGACTGACTTGGAGCGTCTGATAAAATATGCATATCCGTTTCCATACTGTTTCCTTGGTAACCACAATGGCCACTGCTTGTCACGTTTCTGAAGTAAAAAATGATAAAAAATACAGAAAATAAGAAAAAATAATATAATTATCAAACACTAGTAAAGCTGACCTTATGTGGATTTGGCTTTTATTTTTACATACTTTTGGGTCAAACAAGGATTTGTATAGTATACTATTCAAATCCTTGTGTCAAATAGCTCTTTAATTGTTTCAGTTCTTATACATCCTTGGCTTTCAACAAATCAGCTTTGAGCGTTCAAGATGAAGTTACATGCAGAAAAGCGCTTCAGATGCATTAAATTTATAAAATGTTGTTATCATTTTTTAAGTGTTCAGTCAGTTTATAATAATAAAAATGGTGTTCAACTCTCCCCCCACCCCCCAAAAAAAAATACAATCGCAGCTGTATAAAATTGCACTCACATTTTTTTTAAAGGTTAAATAAAAACAACCATTAAAATATTTAGTAACTGAATGGCAACTTATATTTACGTCAATTACATAGAACAACATTTGTTTGACATACGCCTTAATTTTATAGTACACTTCATTCTCAAATTGCTGGTTTAAATATGCCTATATTATGATAAGTTTCAACAGTTATTTGAAGTTCCCATATTTAAATATCATGTACCGGTGTATTTCAATTATATATTCTGTGCGATTTACTTGACAAGGACAGTACAAAGTTTCGATTAGTAACAACGTATTTCAATGCATCTTTCTTCACTAAAATTTTGTTTTTGCGAACGTTACTTATGATGAGGTAATATATCTAGTATGTCCCTCACTACCACCCCCTCCTTAACAGTTTGTATATTTATATGTTCATCATGTTCTACTCGATTCGTTAGCTATATATGATCATGTCCTGTTACGCAGTTACTGCAGCTGAGCTGTATTTTGAAATAAACATCTAATCATCTTTACAGCCACAGAATAACCCACTGCCACCAGCAAATAAAAAATAAAAATCACGAATTTGCAATTCCAAAAATCCAGAAATCAATAGCTGATGCAACACCACACTTCTTTACAAAATACGTGAGGACGACGGTTTTAGTGGTGATACATAATGTAAAATACTTGATTTGATTTTTGTTCCTGAATCTTGAACAAAATGGACGCTTTTCTCGCATTTTTCACTAAATGAAAAACAATCACTTTGTTGTCGTGAATAGTACAGATAATAATTTAAAAGTCAAAGATTGACTTTATCGCTTCAAATACAAGTACCTGTACTATAAATCAATATAATTTAGATATATAGCCCTTCAAAGGCCATTATCTTATATAATTTACTCTGAAAAATTTTAAGACCTTTGTATTTAATGAAGTTCAAAAGGAAAAAAAATATGAACCACATTTTAATTTCAGTCCATTAAGAGTTCAGTTTATGAAGATCTATAATTTTTACTGTCGTCTTTGTTTTATTACAAATGTGAATTCCGTAGAGGTTTACTCAAAGAAAAACAAGAATCAACATTTAAACAGGAACATATATATTTATATACTGTTCCCAGATTTAAATAACATAAAAGTAGACTAAAATTTTCCAGGTCAGGACATTTTCCCACACCCAGTCAATATGAGTGTTGATCGATGAGATAGGAATCTGAGGAGTCCTATGTTTTATTTCTGATACAATTTTGGTTTTGATTGAGAATATAACCTTTCTCTTCCTTATTTTAGCTAAACATTAAAAAAAATATTAACATTAAAAATCAAAAATTCAGTACGGACTATCTACCAGTATTCAGTATTATTCAGTTTATGACATATTAAATATAACACAGTGTCGTCAAGCATGAAGCTATGATTATATATAGTGTGCATCTGAGACTACTATAACACAATGTGTTATAGTAGTCTCAGTGTGCATTTACAAAATGTAAAGTAGTTGAATATTAAAGAGGAAATTTGGCTTATAATACAGAGGCTCAAGCATACAACAACTAACAGCTTAGCAAGCTTGAGATTTCAAATCTTATGTATACATGTATATTAAAGTATGAGAAAAAGTTAACTATCCCCTTCAATCATTGGTCGATATATTTGTAAATGGTCAGCTTAATTAACCTCTGTCATATTTAAGTCCAAAGAAAACACATATAATAATATAGATTTAAAGGGAAAATGTGAAGAACAAAAATTGCTATATCATTAGATTTAATTATAATATTTTGAAGGCTCATATCAACGACAAGTAGTAAAACAAGATATAGGTAGTATGATAGGTAACAAACAAAACATGTGTCGTTAGTTTCCAGATTCTGCTAAACTGGACCTTGGTATGTAAAGATATCAATCGTCATATAAAATTGTGTATTAAATAAATAAATGGCATAAAGTAATATTTTGACAGTCCTACAAAACATTTCTTACATAGAAGCTTTATTAGAAACATGTCTGAAAGATTGCTTAACCAAAGGTCTGCTTGATATATTTTAATTGATAAATACTAATGTATGAAATCATTCAAAGGCAGAGTGAAATGTGCATAGTCAAATAAAAGGTATATAACTCCTTATCAATAGTACTTTAATCCAACGTACATTTCATTAATTCCTTAGTGATATCCAAATATTTGAAATCGATCCGCTAACAAAACATGTTTTTGACCCCTTTTTTGCCCCTTATTTTTAAACGTTTGGGACATTTACCCCCAAACTCAATCCCAGCCTTCCCTTTGTGATATGGAATCTTGTGGTACAATTTCAGAGAGATCCATACACAAGTTATTGTCCGGAAACTACAAAAATGCTTGTTTTTGGCCCCTTTTTGGGCCCTAATTCCTAAACTGTTGGTACCATAACCCCCAAAATCAATCCAAACCTTGCGGTATTGAACCTTCTGGTAAAATTTCATAGAGATCCATTCACTTAAACTAAAGTTATTGTCAGGAAACCAAATGTGTCTTCGGACGACGACGATTTTTTGCAGTCGTATAAAAACAGCTAACAGTGATGTCTTCATATTAAAAGCATTATTTGTTTTTAAATATACATGATTTTAGTTTATTGTGCCAATCATTGGTCATCAATTTTTCAGTGTTGAAAAACTAAACCATAATATTTATTGTAACAACGACACAATCAATAGCCAATATTCTTTTATTAAATAAACATTGCTCCTTCGTATATGGTTTAAGTAGAGATTTATTAGGGACCTGGCGAAAAAGAGCACAATGTAAAAAGGAACGTTTGTATGGGCAACTATTTAAAGTTTAAAAGGATACTATTAAGGATGGTTGTTAAAAACTTATGAAAGTTGATTTATAAAACAGCATGTTAATGGAATTAAAAATATAAAAAATATGAATCTCACAGATACGTTTTACCTTTTCATATTATAGGCCTACGCCCTTGATATAAAAAAATGTAGGCAAACAAATCATTCAATGCTCTGAATTAAACACCCTTCCTAAAATGACACGTTTCAATAAAAATATGATGAGATTCTACTCCATCAAAGTCAACCAAAATTTTATAATCAAAGTTTTCTTTTACCGTGAATTGTCACTGTCAAAAATCCTTGAAAACCTTTGACCAAGTTACATGTGTTATTAAATTATATTACCTGTCCTAAAATGACCGAAAAAATCCACAAAACATCTTATGTGAAATTAATCAGTTTTGGTACAGTTCTCTTTTATATACTATAGGTACGATCGTTCTAAAGGATTTCTTCTTGGTGTTTGAGTTAAACATTGCCTTCACCACGGAAGGCAAGCAGAGGAGAGAATCATCAGATGTTTATAACTAGATGGAAAGCAACGAATAATAAAATGCTCCGCAGGGCGCAGCTTGATACGACCGCAGAGGTCGAACCCTGAACAGTTGGGGCAAGTATGGACACAACCTTCAAGCTTGATACAGCTTTGCATTTGGATTGTGATTAAATATTTGACACAGCATAGGTTTCTGACACAGAATGAATGTGGTCTAAGAACTTAAAAATTTTAAATTGGACATTCACCTATTATGGTCCAATATCCAAAATCTAAATACATGGTTAGATTCAGCATATCAAAGAACCCCAAGAATTCAATTTTTGATGAAATCAAACAAAGTTTAATTTTGGACCCTTTTGACCTCAATGTGGACAAAGTTGATAACGGGGCCCAAAAATCAAAAATCTAAATACATGGTTAGATTCAGCATATCAAAGAACCCCATATATTCAATTTTTGTTGAAATCAAACAAAGTTTAATTTTGGACCCCGATTTGGACCAACTTGAAAACTGGGCCCATAATCAAAAATCTAAATACATGTTTAGATTCAGCATATCAAAGAACCCCAAGAATTTAATTTTTGTTAAAATCAAACTAAGTTTAATTTTGGACCCTTTGGACCTTAATGTAGACCAATTTGAAAACGGAACCAAAAATTAAGAATCTAAATACACGGTTAGATTCGGCATATCAAAGAACCCCAATAATTCAATTTTTGATGAAATCAAACAAAGTTTAATTTTGGACCCTTTGGACCTCAATGTGGACCAATTTAAAAACGGGGCCCAAAATCCAAAAACTAAATACACGGTTAGATTCAGCATATTAAAGAACCCCAAGAATTCAAGAATAAAACCCAATTGAAATTGGTCAAGAAATAAGCAATTTATACGAAGAATCTTCTTTTGCACAATACTGTGCAATTAAATATTCCTTGCTATTGCGCAATACTGTACAATTGACAATTTCTTGCTATTGCGCAATATTGTGCTATTGGATATTTCTTGCTATTGCGCAATACTGTGCAATTGAAGATTTCTTGCTATTGCGCAATACTGTGCAATTGAAGATTTCTTGCTATTGTGCAATAAAGTGCAATTGAAAATTTCTTGCTATTGCACAATACTTATTATATAATAATTTACACATCCTGTTTGGTGTGTATCTCCTACCATATCATTATTATTTGCTTTTAAATATAAATCAGAAATAACCAACTTAAAATGGAAAATTTTAAAAGAAAAAAAAAAGGAAAAAAAGAAAAAAAATGAAGAAAAAAAAAAATCCCCCCCCCCCCCAA